AGTGAAGCAATGCCTCACCAATTGAATAACCCCGAATGAACACAATACACATTGAGTTTGCCACGACCAATCACAAACCATCAGCTCCTATCTTACATAAAATAATACCCCCCAAAACATTCCAATATAAAATGAAACCCGATTATTCATAGTCTTCTGAATCCCCCTCTACTCTATCATAATACCAATATTTTCAAACTAGTTCAGTGGAGGTGACCAAATTTTCCAGCTTAATATTCCATTTCCCTTTATCGGTTGAGAAATTAAGCAAGATGGGGTCTGTGGAGAGATCAAAGAAGAAAGTTCAGTTATGGAAGAAAGCTATTGTTCACTTCTCTTTATGTTTTGTCATGGGGTTTTTCACAGGCTTTGCTCCAACAGGTAAGGATTCGTTTTTTTCTAGTGGTGTTGCTACAGAGAATAAATCACAGATTTCGCCTCAGTCTGTCCAAACGTTGAACCAATCAGCAACAGCAGTACATAGCAGTAATGTTAACGGAAGTTTGATAGCAGAAACTCCGGTGCCAGTTCCAGCAAAGTCCGAGGAACTAGAAAGTCCGAAACAAGTGGATGTTCATGAAGTCAAGTTGCCATCTAGAAGACTCATAATTATTGTTACAGCAACAAGCACAAAAGATCAGTTTCAAGGGGTGTTCTTGAGGAGGCTAGCAAATACTATAAGGCTGGTTCCTCAGCCATTGTTGTGGATTGTGGGGGAAGGGCAATCAGATTCAACTGAGTTATCCGAAATACTTAGGAAAACAGGTATTATGTATAGGCATTTGGTGTTCAAGGAGAATTTTACAGACCCTGAAGCAGAGCTAAATCATCAGAGAAATGTTGCACTAAAGCACATTGAGCACCACAAGCTGAGTGGGATTGTTCATTTCGCTGGACTTTCTAATGTTTATGATCTTGATTTCTTCAAAGAGCTTAGACAAATTGAGTATGTACTCTCACCTAATTCCTTCTCATATAGTATTTCCTGTGATCCAAGTTTCAAACTACCTGTATAATTATGCCCTTGTAGGGTATATAAGAATTTAAAAGAGAAACTGGGACATGAGAATAAAATGTGGTGGCTGGTGGTTGGAAGTTTCAAAACTCAAATTTTTTTAAGGCAATGAAGATTATTTAATTTATATACAATTTGGCCAATGTGCAGGGTGTTTGGAACTTGGCCAATGGCCTTACTATCTGCAAATGAGAGAAAAGTTGTAATAGAAGGACCTGTATGCGATTCCTCTCAAGTTATAGGATGGCATCTGAGGAAGATGAACAACCAGACAGATGCAGAAACAGATGGTGAACCAAAACCTCCTATTCATATATCAAGTTTTGCATTTAACAGTTCAATCCTATGGGACCCTGAGAGATGGGGTCGCCCCACTTCTGTTCAAGGCACTTCACAGGTAAGCAAATATTCTCTGAACCAAGCTTTAGATAGTGAAAAGTGATACCCTTTATTCTACATTATAAAATCATTTTCCTCTTGTTGCAGCATTCCACAATAATAATAAATCTCTCATTTTGGAGATTCTGTTCTATAATGAATTATGCATAGCATCTTTGCTGCTCATCTGATTTTTATTTTTTAAATTGCTTTCCTAGATTATTTAACTTTTCCATAGATGAGGTTTGCATCTGCCATCAACATTAAGAATGTTTTTTTTTTGCGTGTCCCTTCAGAATTCACTCAAATTTGTGAAACAAGTTGTTCTAGAAGATGAGACAAAGTTAAAGGGCATCCCACCAGAAGAGTGCTCCAAAATCATGCTTTGGCGTCTTCTTAATCCTATTGCAGTAGTGCCAAGAAATCTTGTCAAAACAACCTCATTGTTGGATGTTATTTCTCAAAGATAAATATGCAAGAAAAATATGATGTAGAGAAATTTCAATTGGAGGAGAAAATATGATCATATTAAGAGCATAATCTCAATTTTTTTCCATTTATCATGTTTTTTTTTTTTAATTGTTACCCATTTTTCAATTTTTTTCTTCTCTTCAATTAGTGCCAAAATTTGAATCATCTTTTTCTTGCCAGTTGCAACTCAAATCCATTCCCAAATGTTTAAATTTTGCTAACTTTTTTCACTTATATACTATAAACAACAAATAACTCTTGCCAAGAAACAAATTTTTTCTTTATATATTTAAAATTGTCAAAATTTAAATTTCGACAATTAAAATTAAAAATTTAATACTTTACTAATAGAGTACGCAATTATTAACACCAAATAACAAATATTACCCCACCTCATTTTTTTTAGCAAAAAACAGCAAAGAAATAATTGATAGATATATTGAAATTAAGCTTTAATAACATCAAGTAAAGACAAATCCACCAACCTTTGGAAGTGGTTCTACCAAACCAGTTGATTAGAGAGTAATCAAAGAACAGTTTTGGAGAAATTAATATCATTTTGCTTCATCTCTCATGGTTAGGAGATAGTATTTTCTCAAACTGTTCATATTTTTTTTCCTGGAAAACTTCATGCTCTAATGGCTGCATTATCTTGTAAACTTTTCCAAGTATTGGTTGAATCAGAACTGGCTGGACCGCTGATCAACATTCATGATCAATAATGGGCCAGAGGGGCAATGAATTGTCAACTGTCTTTCTTCATTAGCTGGAGCCTGAAATTTTTTTAATATGCATTTCCCACTCCTTTCAACTGGTAGCCCATCTTTGTCTTGGACCTTTCATCATCCTCTCTCCCTCTTTTTAACGAAGTTACAAGTATAAAAGAAACCAATTAACAAATCAATGTCTAATTGAATAAATTTATCATAGAATTAGATTAAATCCATATATATATATATTTGAATGAAATGGACGACTCGAAATATATTTTGTTTCTATTTAGACAATAATTAGTCAATTTCTGACAAATTGGACCCAATGCCTGCAAATCTCTCTCTTCCTATATACATATGTAAAAGGACATAAATTTTTTATTTTTTTTCTTATTAATAAAACGCCTACGTTATTTGCATGTACAGTTACATAAAGCATGCATATATACATACATACATATATATATATATATAATTCCTAACAAGGCATCTTAACAAATGATTTTTGAAATGTTCATTTTGATTTGAAATGGTTAAGCACGTTTATAAGATATACAAAAAAAAAGTATTGTTATCTCCCATTATATAATTCAAAGTATAATGAACTTCTTAATGTACTAATCAACTATGAAATATACATATTTTTAATCATTTTCTGCCAAAAAAAAGAATTTTGATTTTTATTGTATTTTATATTAATTATTTATATTGATTGGATTTTTTTTTCATTTATAATAACTTGAAATAAAATTATTACAGGGAGAAAATAACACAATTCCTTCTATATGGGCTTGTAATCAAAATAAATACATGTGTTTGTTGACGGGTTTTTTTTTTTTTTCACAAATCCCACAATATTTGTCAAAAAAAAAAAAAAACTTTCAACTTATTTGATGCTGAAATTTTAATTTTATAATTATATAGTATCATTTTCAATAATCCAATTCCTGAAATTAAAACAGGGTAGCTCGACGCTGCTTGACATGACAAGCTGTAGGGTTGTTGGCAACAAACCTGGTCCTACAATTTAATGCCTACTGCTTATCTTTGACAAATACTGAAATGAAAACAAAGGGTCCATTTCAAAACCTGCCTCCAACAATGCATTACTTGAAAAATCAGGAGACGAACGTTTCTGTTTTAGAGTTGGATACCTCGGATTTTGCCTTAGAATTCTATATTATAATCCTTTTATCCTGTTGTCTGATATTATTATTATTTTTTTTATATGTGGAAGAGGTTAGAAAATTTGATTATCGAATTCTTTGAATTATTAATTATTGAATTAAATATTCGAATTTGAATTTATTATTATTTTTATTTAGTAATAAAAGCCAAAAAAGGAAAAATTATAAAATTGTGGATATTGGTTTGGATTGGGCAATGATTAGGTTAAGAACCTACCACTTTGATTGATTAGGTAATTGCATAAAATGATGGTTTCAACTGCTAGTTTTTTTATTAACTAAATGAAAATCCAGCAAAAGAAATTCACAAAATCACATAAAGCAATCCTTAAGCAAGAGCCAATGAAGTTGCCAGTATTATTGAAGATCAAGCTGATCAAGCACGAGACTAAAAACAAAGATAATGTGTTATTTTAATTTATTATATCAATCAAACTAACATAATGTGTTATTTAAATAGTAGGTTCATCAATCAATCATGAATAATTTCTTTTCTTTTCTTTTCCCTTTTTTTTTCTCTCTACAAAAGTTAAAACCTGCGGCGGTGTGACGGTGTCGACCGACAATTTGCCACATGGGCCTTGCTCTACATTATACTTGTAGTTTATTTTTTTTAGCATTTTAAAAAATAGTAATATCATATCATCACTTATGTGAAAATTTAAATATATGTTAAAAATAAAAAATAATCACAAGTATTAATTTGATCTTCAACAATGTTTTTGAATAAAATAATTTAAAAAATACATTATTTAATATTTTATAAAAAATAAATGGACCCTACATGCCATACTAATATCAAAACAAAATGTGCATGGAATAAATCGGTTTAAGTGTAAGACAAGAAAGACATATCTTTAATATATTCTCAAAGACATTTTGCAATTTTATGTGTTGATTACATTTATTTTGTTGATGCTATGCTACAAATTTGTACTTAGTAATCAATTTATGCTTTTGTAAACATTTTTTTTTTATTTAGGAGGTAAAAAAAATACTATTAAAAAAAAAAAGACAAGACAAAGGAGTTTTCGGTGATCTACTGAACTGAAGTGCCATTAAAATTTGAAAACGACAGAAAAAGAGGTTGCTTTTTTAACAGCGGTAGTTAGCAAGGAAGGAAAATGATAGGTAGATGGATTTTTTTTTTTTCAACCAATCGGAGAAGAAGGAGGCAATCTGTTTAAATTAGTGGGACCCAGCTGCCCTACCCAAGAAGTGGGGTCACACTAGCAAAAGAAAAAAAACAGCTGTTTCTTCCTCACATTCACTGAAATCTTCTTGTCAAGATCTGTTTCTGTTCCTTTTCCTCTGTATATCACAAAGAGGCTGCCATATAAAGTGTGACCCTTTCAACTTTCTCGCCTTTTCTGTTTGTCTTGTGAATGGAAAACAAAGGAAAGAGGACAGTTCAAGTTCTTTGAGATCTGGGCATTACAATCTCAGGTAGTTTTGCTACTTTTGTTCTCTCCTGTTTCATGGACCCCAATTTTAAAGATGGATTTTTTTAGCTTTTTTGTTTGAATTTTCTGTTGCTTGATATTGCTAATTGTCTTTCAAAATCTGGGTAGTTTCCTAATTTGTTAGGAACCAGCCATTTGTCAAATACATTTGAAGATTTTGAGCGTTGTCTCATTGTGCTTTGCCTGGTTGAGGAGAAAATCTTGGAAAGGAAGAACTTGTTTAGATTCTGCGAACAGATATACGTGATAGATCATGGGATTTTTCTTTTTTAACTTTTTTTTTCCTTCTCCTCTTTGTTTAAAACTCCCATTTTCCTTCCTAATTTGCATTATTAATATTTAATTTTACCCCATGATTTGCCTGTCTTTATGGTATATTAGCTATTGCCATTTATTAACTATCTGCCTCTTTAAACGTTGGTTGGAGAAATGTTCATTTCTAAAATCCTTCTATTTTACACTGAGAAATCATTTCCAATTTCTAGCATATTCCAAATGCATTTAGGAAAGGCTAACTTTTTTTTCTTTTTTTGCCTCTTATAGGATTACACTAGGGAAAGATAAGATGGGGAAGAAAGGAAAATGGTTGTCTTCTCTAAAGAAAGCCTTAAGCCCAGAGTCCAAGGAAAAGAAAAACCAGGTCTGGAAAAAGCCCCATTCTGCTATGAATTACCTGTAGTTTATAGTCCTCAATGAGTTTTTAATATTATCGATTGCTATGTTATGTTTTTCAGAAATCAAAAGAACAGTTTTTGGAGAAGCAGGTGCATTTGGGTCCCAGTGGTTCTGATGCTGCCACTTTAGAAACTGTCAAGTTGTCCCCTCCTCCTCAGCAGGAAGAGGTGGAATTAGTTGAAGCAGAAGCTGAAAATAGCCAGCAGACTTACCCTGTAGCAGTTGCCACTACTGATGATGATGTTGTTGCTCCTGCTGCTCCAGCTCAGGCAGCTGTAGAGGTCGTTCGATGTCAACTTAAAACTGGTGCTAGGTTTGCTGGAAAATCTAAGGAGGAAGTGGCAGCAATCAAAATTCAAACAGCTTTCCGAGTTTACCTGGTATGTGCTGCAATTTTCATTTTTACTCTTCCCTTCTGGGGCTGTTTGCTTAGTCATTTCTTCTTTTCAGCCACAACCAACCACCTCTCCCTCTATCACAATTGATTTTTCAGCCACAACTGAAATTTATGTAATGGATTCGCTGGTTATGATTTCTTCTTTTCAGGCAAAAAGGGCATTGCGTGCTTTAAGAGGACTAGTCAGGCTGAAATCATTGATGGAAGGGCCTGTGGTCAAACGGCAAGCAGCCAGTACCCTTCGGTGCATGCAAACTCTTTCTCGTGTGCAGTGTCAGATTCGTACCAGGAGAATCAGGATGACAGAAGAAAATCAGGCTCTTCAGAGGCAACTCTTGCAGAAACACGCGAAAGAGCTTGTGAACTTGCAGGTAAATCCCCTTTTTCTCTGATACATTAGCGTGATTGACTTGCTTGAATTGGTAGCAGAGTTAGTAGTCTGGGCTTATATATATCCTGGAAAATGTGATGTACGAGCTGGACTGCTGTGAATTGGGTTCAAATTTTTCTCCAACCTCATGTTTTTCAAACCTAGATACTACAATTTTTTTTTTTTGGCCAGAGACCTATATCCTATAACTAGAGTTATCTTTATATTACAAACAAATAAGATAATTGATTTAGCTATTATATATAGCATACTGGGAAGTTTGGACTTCCTCCTGCTGACTATAGGTTTTGAATGTTTAAACAGATGGGGGAAGAATGGGATGACAGCCTGCAGTCAAAGGAACAAATTGAGGCAGGCTTACTGAGCAAGCATGAAGCCACTTTGAGAAGAGAAAGGGCCATGGCGTATTCATTTACTCATCAGGTGACCTTGCTCTAATTTTATATATGCTGTTGGAGTACATCAAGAGTGTCAAATATTTAAAATCTTTGCCTCTGCGTGTTTATATTTGCAAGTGAGAGACTTAACAGCATCGTTAAAATGACTTGATCGAATGAAGCATAACTAAATTACTTCAAAAAAAGTTCTCCATAGCTTTGGTGATGAGGCAAGAAGTAGCAGTTTCTTGGTAACTTAGTTCCTCATCTTCCTAACCAGTTGATAACTATTAGTCTGAAATACAATAATTCCCATCATTAGATATGTGATCTCATCAAAGGGAAGTGGGGATGGAATTCAAATATCCCATTTCCAAGTCCGAACAAGAGTTTCTTTCGTCTAAACTATATATGCTGAGTCACATGACAAAAGGTAACCCTTTCCCTTTTTTTTACCTAGCTCATCCTAATGCTTAAACACGAGTCCTTTTAAGGTGGGAGTACCACCAGACAACTAGTTCTTTGGCATTCAAGTATCTGAAAGTTAAACAAAGTTTTGTGTCTGACACATACACATAACTTTTGCAGCAAACCTGGAAGAATGCTTCTAGGTCTATGAATCCATTATTCATGGATCCAAACAATCCATCCTGGGGTTGGAGCTGGTTGGAACGTTGGATGGCAGCCCGGCCATGGGAGGGTCGTGGCACGACAGAAAAAGAAGAGAACACTGATCAGTCATCCGTAAAGAGTGCACGCAGCAACTTTGGAGGAGAAATCAGCAAAGCTTATGCTCGCTGTCAACTCAATTTGGATAAACAATCCCCAAAGGCTAGCCAAAAGCATAGCCAAACTTCAAGTCTCCTATCCCCTTCTACTCCTAAGCCAGCTTCCACACCTGCCCGAAAGCTGAAGTCAGCAAGCCCTAGGAGCAGAGTGGTTGGTCCAGATGATGACACAAGAAGCATAGTCAGTGTTCAGTCAGAAAGAAACAGGAGACACAGCATTTTAGGCTCCTCGGTACGTGACGATGAGAGCTTAGCAAGCTCTCCATCGCTTCCAAGTTACATGGTACCAACTGAGTCCGCCAGAGCTAAGACCAAGTTGCAAAGTCCGTTAGGACTAGAAGCAAATGGAACACCCGAGAAGGGACCAATCGCATCTGCCAAGAAACGGCTTTCTTATCCACCTTCACCAGGCAGGCCAAGGCGGCTCTCCTGTCCTCCAAAAGTGGACAGCAGCATTACTAATACAGAAGTTGCTGTGGTGAATGCAGGGGGCAGTTAGTTACTTCTAATAAAAAAGAGATGAAGGAAAGCAAACATTATACGGCTATGGAGAAGTCCAAAGGAGCAAAATCACGAAGCAAAGAGGAATTATAGTCATTTAATTTCTGAATCTCCTACTTCTGCAGCCAAAGTTTTAATTCATTCTCATACATCCTTGTTTATTTATTTCTTTATGTGTTTATGCCTTGAGATGGCAGAATGATATTTGTGATTGACAGCAAATTATGTCCAAATTCAGTTCATCGAAATTTCTTGCGTTGTTTGTATTTTGATTTGTATGATAACTATATATACTTCTTTGTTCTTTTTTATTTTGGCATTGGCATGGCACTGTTTAATTGCATTTTCTTTTCATTTTTATGAGATTTATTTGGTGATGGATGTCATTCATTGATCAATTCGATTGGAATACATTCACGACTTTGATCATCAAGTAATTCGGATCAAGTGCAACTTATATAATTTCTGAAGCTATAATGCCTTTTTTTTATTTTATTAGGGTTTAACCCGTGCGTTGCTGAGGATAACTTTTTTATTTGAATAATTTTTAATTTTTGAAATTGTTTATACTTCTTTTTTTTTCATTTTTTTAATATAGAGTAGGAATCTATTATATGATAGTTACACTTTTTTTTTAACCTTTTAATCAAAATATCTAAAATTTAAAATTTTTATTTTGATCCAAATCTAAGGATCAAAAGAGAGTGATATACTTACATCAGTGTAATTGAATTTCTCCTTTTAATATATATATATATATATATATGTTACAATTAGTATACCATGATAAAATCATTAAAATTATTTATATATTAATAATTAGCATTATTTAAATATTTTTTGTTCATATTAATCATATTGTTATTGATATAATCAATTAAGATTGTTAATAATTTACTTTTATATATAATTATTATAAAATAAAATAAAAATTTAAACATTTTGTCTCTTTATCTTAAGTTGATTTTTAATTCTTAGACTCAAAAAATTATATTCAATAAAAAGATAAGAGTTTGAATATGATTATCATTCATCATATCACTTTTTATACTACAATCATACTACATATATATATATATATTAAAAAAAAAAAATAAACCACATCGTTATATGCTCAATAAAAATTAATCCGCACTTTCATGTAAGCACGATGGGCTGTAAAAAAATCCCCATTATCAACTACCTAATAAAAATAAAATCAACGAAGAATTTTAACGAAGTTAACATTTTGACTTGATTTAATCATATCATTGCATTGGGACTAAATACTCATTTTGATTAGGGTAGATGGACGGATTGCAGTTTTTAAGAACAGGGAATTTGTCACCCTTTCTTATTAGTTCTTTTGTACTGGCTGGTCTTTTGTTTTGTTAAGATTCATCGATTTCAATTGGCATAGCCCCCTTCGAGGAATGGACATGTCTGATGTACAGAAGAAGCACATGCAGCTCAAACCACCAAACTTGACCCTCCGATGCACAGGCAACGGTAAGGTGCACATGCCAGTCGAACCACGGTTGTGCACGTGGAGGCACCTGCCAACACAAGAAGCCTTGTCCCACTAGGAATGATTCTGAAACATGTCAGTACAAGAAGAAAACCTTTTGTCAACCCCTGTTTCCCACAAAAATGTCTTTTGGTCTTAGCTTACCAGAGATAAGACCAGGAACCCTGTTTTTAATCCAGGTTTTATCATAGCATTACCCACTTTTCTGGTAAGAAAAAGTTGTCACATTCAATATTGAATATTGATTACCAACTCTTCAAGCATAGAATATGGGGAAATGCCAGAAGAATTGTTAATAGGTAAGATCAGTGCCTCCCTGCCTTGTAATATCTCACCTCTCCAGTACGTTGTCTTTTAGCCTTACCTCTCAACTCTCCCAAGTACTTGTGACTGAAATTTTGAGACATCTAAAGTGCTACAATGAACTTTATGGAGCAATCTGTGGTATTTACACAAAAATTGGGAAAATAGAAGGAAAAAGTGTAAATTTATGGCGGTGTATCATTTGTTGGTAAAATCAGTAGCTAATGATTGCTCTTCCATATCTCCTTCGGAGGGGATTTCACCTTTGTCCATTGCCCGGTCAAGAGGACCTTGAGGGCTTCCAAACAGAGTAGAGAATATCTGCCGATGGCACTCATCGCAGAAAAATAAATAGGAAAAATGGCCTTCATTTGGGAGCTTATGAATGATGGCCCCTGGTAGAACCCGGATTATATGATCCATCATTGCTGGTGGAACTGCTTGGTCATCCATCCCCTGTGCACAAATTGATCAATAAACTTAAAACCAGAAAGAACTTGTATTAAAGTTGTCTTTTGTTGCTTCAACAGTCTAAATATCATTGAAACTTCTGATAATATCGTTCAAACTTGAAATGCTTGCATAAGTCAATGGAAGAGTCAATCTAAACAAAAATGAGTGAACAACTGAACTAGAAACACTTGGAGAGACTCTTAAATGATTGATATATCACATATCCATGGCTGACCAGCAAAAGACCTATGGACCATAATGTCATATTACACTATAATCTTTTCAGTCCACAACAACAGAGGAACGTACAAAGTTCCTCGAACTTGATGTTCATATGATAGTGCCAACAGATACCTTTCTAAGAGATTAAAAGTCAGGCGAACTTGAGATGATAAATTGTCGGAATAGAATATCAGATTTATTCTATACAAGGAAACCAAAAAGGAAAAAGAAAGCAAACCTGCCAAATATGTATTGGTCCCAGAAATCCCGCCAATTCGCATTCTGCTTGACTGTACAGGGACCTGAGCCAAGGGAAAATTCCACTTCTGTAACATTTCTTCTGCACCTGAAGATCAGTCAAACTGAAACCCCAGTTTGAAACCTGTAGGACAGCTTCCTCAATGAATGGTTTTGTATTTCCCTGACGGATTGACTCCTCCACATCTCTATGCCAGAAGTCTTCAAATGTTGGTCCTTCAGTCAGAATCTCATCCTGCACACATCAAGATAATATTATGCAAATCCTTAAAAGCATATCAAAGACTGGTTTCAACACTAAGCATTAGCATAACAGAAGATTTTATTACATGGCGCTTCCAAACCTGGACCAAATTCCACAAGGTTAAAAAGTTCGCCCAATAGGGGGCATCATTCCATGCATTAATCCTTGTTCTATTTCTTAGTCCCATGGCCACAAGCACTTTAATATGTTTGCAAACGAAGGTGATTATTAAAGTATGTCATGAAACACCCAATAGATATGGAAATGTGCTCTTTTAAACACAAAAAATTCCCTTAAACAAGTGCCATTCTACCCTAGCCCAAAAAATGTCTAAAATGAAAAGTAACCTATAAACACAAATGAGATTTGAGAAATTATTGAAGATGAGAGTAGACTCACCCTCCTTCCAAGTGACAGAGACATCCACTTATCAATTCGGCCATGCTCACCAGAGAGGAAACTGCGGCGGTAAAAAATGGACAGCAGTTTTGGCAATCTTTGAGCTAAATAATACATGAATTTCCTTTTTGGTAACCACTCACCCCAAATACTTCTCATTTCTTCCTTAGTCATGCTAGGTTCATATGGATTGATTATTGGAGCAAACATCGCAGCACCTGCAGATTTAGTTGAGGTGCATCACAATGTAAGGTCTAGAAATTCCAACGGCTATTATATTGTGAGGATATAGGTATTATCTTAATAGGTTCAAGAATCTGCTATGAAACCAATCAGTTTCCAGGGCTTCTAAGTAACATTATGCATTATCATGTCAATTGTCAAGTATCAAAACAGTAAATTTTACAGAGGGAACCGGTTCACACCAGCAATTTTGTGAGGAACATATCTGAGTGCAGCCCAAGCATGCATGCTTCCACTTGAGTGGCCCAACACCCAGAACTTATCATTGACACCAACAGCATCAGCTAGATGTAGCATATCAAATGCTGATGAGTTGAGATTTCTACTAGGATGAGGATCACTCTCCCCAAAACCAGGAAGATCATATGTGACCAAGCGGACACCAAACTCTTCAAGGAGCGATGTCTTAACACCCGGTATACCTGTCCAATAAAAATCATCAACGAGTCCACCAATTTTGATCAAGAACATGCATATACAAATTCTAATATTTGCATCTTACCTGCAAGTCGGGATGAAAGAAAAGAATGAGGAGCAATGAGAGAAAATCGAGCTTTATCTGCTGCAACTCCAGTATCACGATAAGCCAAGTGTCTGCCATCTGGAAGTTGAATGCGACTCGCACTAGGAGGATGAACACGCATTTTTTTCGCTGGCGTTACCAATCCATCATGTCCACCATTTAAAGTCAGAGCTGCAATTTTTTTGAACATTATAGTTTTAACAAAATTCCAATCAATCATTTGAATTTTATCAATACCAACTTAAAATTATGTCAATCGAACGTTCCAGATTTTCAATAACCAACCACAATTAAATCCAACTCATAATAATAATAAATTAATAGTGGTTAACGATTTAGTACCTGAAAGTGCAAGAATGGAAACGAAGAAAATAACAGGCCAAGCATGAACTGGATCACGATCCTCAGGCAAGAACTCATTCAAGAATCTCAATCGACCGGAGACCTTGGCAACGGGTCCACCAAGCTTCTGAACTATAAACGAATCTTCAGTAACTACCGTTTGCAGCAAAATATCTCTGCATCCTCTTCCAAGTTCTAGTAGCATCTCACACCACGATTTCAAAAATTCCGTCATCTGTTCCTTCAAACTCTCCGGCGGTTCCGTTTCATGATCACTCTCAACAACCGCCGCCGCCGCTGTCGATTTCGCTGTTTTGAACGGCGGTAACGACGAGAAACCGATGGTTTCCCCGGTGTATATTATCCCCGTGTCTTCCAGTAAACTCGCCGCCTCCTCCCGCCACGTGTTCGGTTTTTTCACTTCCGCCATTTTGTGAAAAAACAAAAACACACTCTCTCTCTCTCTCTCTCTCTCTCAATCAATCATCAATCTCTATGAAGGGAGAGCCGTTTTGCTTTAACCAGAAGCCTCTTAAGTAAGCATGAAACCTTTTTAAGAGTTTTAAAAACAAATAAATTAATGTCAAATCAAAGAGAAGAACAAAGCAGAAACTAAAAGCTTTGAAAGCGTGACAACGAAGTTTTACATTTCTTTAATCAAACAAAAACTGAAATTTAAAAATAAAATTAAAAAACTAACCGAAACGACGGCCACTAAACCGAATCAAAGTCTCCTTAATAAAAAAGCAGAAAGTCCAAAAAGTTTTAACTCACTCTTTGAAGAGTATCCATCTTTCACTTTCCGACACGTCAGAAACCGTTGGCTCTGATTGTAATGTGAGATAATTTCTTTTTTTTTTTTTTTTGTTTTTGTGAATTGAACCGCTAACTAAATCCTCGAGTGATTTTTTAAATTGAATACAGACCGTTGATTAAGAATTGATGGTAATGATCAGTCCACGTCGACAAGCTCTTTGCCGTGAACTTAACAGCTCTTGCTGGTGGGACCAGGTACGTGTCTGGCAGCAATATTCCGTATTTGACACCTGCTTTTGCCGGTTGCAGCGTACGGTAGACGTGGAGGTCGGTGCAAGTGACTTGGGAATGTTCCTTTTTTAACCTTTTCCTTTTGCCGGAAGTTTTTATTTTTAATATTCGAGGTCGTGGTAAAAATTGTCCTTCAAAGAATCTCAACCGTTGATTTTTGATTAAATTTAATGTTGCAAGTTGAAATTTTTAAATCTGAATAGACGGTGATGGGTGTACTGTAAGTGAGGTGGATGACGATGATGGATTTGGCTGGGTTCGTTGTCGTAAATCGCGATGGAACATTGAAAAAATAAAGTTGGGAGACTTAATGCTGAAGGAGATAAAATTGGGTGGGCAGCTGATGAAATTTCCTCCATACTAATACGCCCCCTCAAATATAAAAAACAATTCAAAAACAAAAATTAAATAATTATTATTTTATTACAATTAATTAAACTCATAAATATTTATTTTTTATCTAATTAAATTATCAAATAATTATTTTTAGTTAATTAGCTATCCATTTGATAAAAATTGAAGATAATGGTTGATAAATTTTCATTCAATTAATTAAACGAAAATATATGTTTAATTTATTGTAATAAAATAATAAAAATTTAAGTGATTATTTAAATTTAATTTAAATTTTTTATATTTCAATTTATATTAAAATTCGTTCTCGTGAAAGACTGATTGGTTGTCATGTATCCATTAATCAGACTCACAGGAGAACCGTTTTATCCATTAAATAAGAACCAGTTTGGTCCTAACATTCATTTAAAAAAAACTTACCTTTTATGTTTTTTATTGTTCTTATTTTATGAAATTTAAAATTTATTTTTTATTTAAATTTCAATTCAAAGAATATGTTATGTTCATTTATCATTATATCAAACTTAATTATATATCTATTATATATTAAACATATTAATTAATGTGATATATACTCTTAATATAATTAATTTCAAATGATAACATATAATGAATAAATGACATTAAAAGTGTCACATTAATTAACATATTAACAATTCAGATGTTATATTAAAATTTTTTTAAATTTAAATATTAAATTAAAATATTTTATTATAATTTATGAGATATTTATAGCATTAACTGAAATAAAAATAAAAAGTTTCTTCTCAACTTAAATTTCTTAAAATTGTGCCATCTTGGTCTTGTGTTGTTATTTGTATACATCTATAAATTTATATAATTTTAAAATAAATTTTATTTATTTAAAAAATAATAATATATGTGATTGCTTATTCTGTATAAATAAATATATATATATATATATTGCAAAATTTCAATAGCATACGATCTTTAGCGTCATATGGCTTGTCTTAAGTGTTGTGTTTTTCAATTCTCCGAACTTATTTTTAGCAACATATGGCTTGTCTTATTTCGGTGATTGATTTGATCGAATTTTAGATACTTTTGATAGTACAAAATATAATTTTTTTAGTGATACAATTATTTTGTTTAGATAATTTATAGGTTAAGAGAATCGAAATTCTAAAGTAAGTTTCATAAATTTAAAACTAAGAAAAATTGTATTATTTGTGATAATTTGTCAAATTTTAACATTTGAAACATAGGTTTTTAAAAATTAATTTTGCTGAAACAAAATTTTAAATTGTAGTATTACATTATTATTTTAAGTTGATGCTTTCCTTTGTCATTATGAATAGTAAAATGTTCAATATTTTATAACTCAAAATAAGTCAAATGATCACGTAATATGAAAATTTTAGAATTTAAAATTTTTATTTTTAATTATTTTAAAAATTATTTTCAAAAATATTTGATGTATTTAGTTATAAAATTACTTGAATTTTAGTTATATTATTTTTAATAAATTTTTTACTTATTTTAATATATTTTTGCTGTGTTAATTTTATCTTATTAGTATTATTAAATAGCTATTAAGTTATATTCATATTAAAAAAATTAAAAAAATTGTAAAATTTTATTGATTTCATTTTTTTATTTTATTTTTTTAAGCATTTTACTATATTAAAATAAAATTTATTTTATATGAAAAAATAACATTTTTAAATAGTTTCAAATTGTTGAAAAATTTGTCACATAACCCAACTGGCTTAGGATAATGTGCGAATGGTTTGTTTTATCAAATCTATGTTCTCCAAATAAATTTTGATTTTTAAATATATCTTAAATTATTAAGATACTAAAGGAATTTAGTGAATTGTGGCTTAAGTTTCGGTTTAACAGGTAAGTGACTTGATATTTTTTTCGATTTTTATGTTATTAAAAATCAGTTTCAATATATTTAAAGTTTAAATATATAATATTTATTGTTTTATCTATTTATTTTGTAAATTAGGTTGAGCATGTAAAATGTATATATAATTTATTTGTTATGAGTTTGAAATATGATTTGACATTGTTTTGATTTTTGAATATGATTTCGTAATAATATATATATTTTAATTACTCTAAGTTTTATAATTATTATACATCTATTATATGTTAAAATTATTTTTGTCAGAGTTGGTTGGTTGAATATTAATATTCTTTCACACCCTAAATAATGATTTAATTAAAAAATAGTTCTTAAATAAAGAATAACACAAAACAAATCATTTTGTTTCGAAAATTCATTTATAAAAATAACTTTTTTTAAGCTTTTTTTATATTATTTATTATCTTTGTCTCATGAAAATTATTCTTTAGACTTAAATCTCAATTCAATGGATATGTTATGTGTTATTTATTATTTATATTGTTTTATAATTATTATATATTTAGGTTTGAGTACAAATTTATTTATATCAATGTAAGTGTTACATTTTCTTAATCATTATATCAAAGTTAAATTTCTAAAATTTACAGTTAGACATTTTGATTTAAAGGTTAAAAAATGTAACACTCACATTGATATAAGTGGATCATTCTTTTTTAATTTTAATAATTTTTTAATTTATGCTAATAAAAAATTAAGCATAATATATTTTATTTAATATTTTAATAATATAATTATTTAGATTTGACAATATTACAGAAGGTAACTTTTTTTTTTTCATGAAGAAATGACATAAGAAATGATATATTTTATTTTGATTTAAAAAATTAAATAATTTATCTATCTCGAATTTATAAATAAATAAAAAAAAACTATGAAAATGGAGACAATAATGCATAAATACATAATGAGAAATCGATGCCAATTTTTATGTAATCTCAATTATTCCCACCATTTAATTGAAAAAAAGTACCCCACAATCGGATTGCTTGAAATGAAAAACAGACATTTGACATTATATACAATTACAAAGCAAGGAAGTGACATCTCTTGCATTCAAAACAATGAGTGCTTCCGAGCCTTCCAATTGGTTCTTAGACAAAATTACCACCGAATCAAAGCCGCCTTCTTGTCCATCCACGAGTCCTTCTTCATGATATCGAGCAACCCTTCCTGCAATTACTCTGCAAATTACAATGGCTTTCCTAGCACAAATCTTATTAACACATTCAGTCAAACTTTTCTATGTGCTCGTCTGCTGTTGTTGCTTAACGCGACGGATTCTTCACCATCTGATAGCTAGACCCGATCATTTTGCAAATTTCTCAGCATTCCCATGGCGAATGCTTGAGAACTCATCAATTCATAGGGAACAAGTCACCTTTTTTTTTAGATTCCAACCAATGAAATCATTATCTTTAGAATTATTAAGTTGAGGCAATTTATAGTTAGTATAGACATGGTTTTGGGATCAAAAACACCGAACTATAGCATTTTTTTACCCACTTCGCATTTTTTTTTTCATCATCCATTGGATCAGAAAGATTTACCCTTGCCCTAGGTCCTAGATGCTCTTAGAGTATGATTTATTATTTGCAGGATTACAACCATTGTTAAGTTATCTTTATTGATTCTACAATGAAAAGTGCTTTTCAAACTCACTTTTCATTTTTAGTTTTAATAATTGGAGAGTGATTTCTGGTAACTTCAACTATAAAAAAAAAAAAAAATACTCTTCAAAGAAGATGGGCATTGAGGCATAACTAATTGCTTCCTCTTGTCATTTTCCCCTTTATTTAATGAAAAAAACCCCACAAATATTGAGTTGTCATGTTGTTTTTGTTAGTTCCTTTGGTGTCCAAAGGGAATAATCAAGATCACAAGCACTAGATTATTAGTTGTTGCTTTCAATTGCAAACAAAGCAAAGGCCTAAACACATGAAAACACAGCTTTCTCCCTTTGATTTACAACCTTGTATATATCCTCAAGAGGAAGAAAGAAAAGGAAGCTTTTATTACATGCAAATCTGAGTGCTTTCTAATAATTGGAACCCCACAAAGGATATATTTCTCCCTTTTAATGCGCCCACAAGGAATTAGGAACACATCCAAGTCATGTTGGGAGCTTGTGATCTTTTAAATTTGTCCTCAAAGCCTGGAGACAGTTTAGGGAACCTGTAATCAGAAGTGCAACGCGTGAGACATGATAAATAATTAAGTTTATCTTCAGATGTTTGGTTTAGTAATCAAAATAATCGTAAAAAAAATATTAAGGGCAGGATTCAAATTTCAACCTTTCTCTTTTTCCTTTAATGTAAGATTTTGTTTCTTTTAAATGATCAAAAATAAAAAATATAATTAAGTTTGATAATTTAAAATATGATATGATAATAAAACATAAAAAAATATAATTTAAAATTATAATAATAATTATGTATAAATTTAATAAAATAAACAAATTAATTTTATATTTTTATATTAATACAAATTTATAACATATAACTTTTATATAAAGTATAATATAAATATATAAATTTTAATTTTTATATAATATAAATATATAAATTGTTATGTATACAAATAATATATATTTATTGTTCATATGACATCTATCAAAATGTTGGTGGGGGCAGTTTTACTTCACTTTTGACAGGAAATAGCCAAAAGAAACAAGCAAGGCCTTGGAAAATGGTCCCAAAGTGGTGACATTTCTAGGGACCCCATCAAGCAAAATGCCCTAAATAACAAGGCTTTGCACATGTGAATGCATGGTTGAAAGCGGGAACAAGACCCACACTTTAATCCCAAGTTTTACTTGACAGAGCGCGTGAGAAAGGAGAGTGGTACTTTGATCCACCACAAACTCTTGTATGGAAAAATTTCCCGATAAGCCAACGCCTTCGCTTACTCTCTCTCTCTCTACTGACATTTGAACAGAACAGTGAAAGAAAGAAAGTAAAATACATAAACGAAAGAAACACTCGGCCTTGGGGAACTGAGCAGTGACACTGCAGAGAACGGACCTCGGCTCTAACTTAACACTGTTCGGTTTTTCCAAGCTTGGGTTTTCTAGGGTTCTTTGTTTCCAAGCCTTTTTTACCTCTAAAAATGTCAACCAAAGCCTCCTTCAGGTAAAACCCGACTCTGTTTTTTCTTTCTTCTTTCTGTTTGACATTTGTGTTTTCAGGTTGCATTGCATTTTTTTGCAATGTTGTTTTCATTTTGTGTTTATTTTCCTTTGTTTGTTTTGATAATCTTTTAGTTTTCTTTAAAAAAAGTGAAATGAAGTTCGGATTTTTTCTTTTCAAATGTGTTTAAGAGTGAGTGAGGAACTGTCAATTTCTTCCTGGGTTTTGCTTACTTTATGTTATTAATTAATGATGTCTCCTTCTGTGTTTCTTTTTCAAGAAAATCCTATTTTCTCTGTTTAGTCGAAGTTTTAGTTGCAAAAGTACTTAAAAATTTCCAAACTCTGTTTCAACTCTGTGTTTTTTTATTTGAATAGCGTTCATCGATCTCAGCTTAGGTCACTGAAGATTGACCAATGCGTACCCAGCTACTGGCTTTCTCTAAAAAGATAGATCTTTACTGCGTGCTTTTTATATTTACTTTTTACTTAAGTGTGACCATTCTTCGAAATCATGTTTTCTTCAAGATTATTTGACTCTCTATATTCTTAAGTTTTGCATTGTTCAGTTAAGTCTGTCGTCATGTTTTACTTTCAGAGTTAGCAAGCAAAATTTGAGAAAGAAATACGAGATTTCATGTAGTTAAGAGCTTTAAAATTTGCAGTAGAAAGTGGAAATATGGGAAAAGTAGTTTCCTTTGATTGGATTCAATGCACTATTACATGAGCAAGGGCACATAATTTCATGAAGACAGAATGATTCAGTTTTTGGTCCAAGACTATTGCAAATTAACAATTTTTGAATTATAATTTCATATCAAACACCAGCAGCCCTTCATGGGATGTTAACTTCATTCATTTCCTGCAGGTTCTTCGGGGTTTCAATAATATGTGTTTGGTTTTTTTGGTCGTTGGTTTCAATAATGTGTTTTGTAGCGTATATTTCAGTACAGGAGTGAACAAGGAAGAGGGCAAATAAACAGAGAAAAAAAAGGAAAAAAAAGAAAAGAATAGGTGGAAATATGGTTTATTTATTTATTTGGTAATGATGTTTAATGAATTCATTGGATGGAAACCTTTTTTTTTTTTTCTCTCTGCTTTTCTTTCTTTTTAAAATTTGCCATTTGGTTATGGTTGGTGGTAGTGGAAGTAGTTTCTATGGAGTTTCTTTGAAGGAATTGTATTGTTTGTTTGTTTGTTTGTTAGTTAGGTCTTTTGTATACTGCTAGAGATGAAGTTCTTTTCCTGAACTACTTGCTTGCCTTTGTCTACATTTATATATCAGATTCTCTCTCATGTTGCTTCTCAGCCTACGATTTGTCTGAACTATTTGCAGGTGCTGTGCGTCAGGTGGGATTTAAAGCAGAGGACATATATATTGCCCTTTTACCACTTCCAACTCAAGGGAATATAAAAATCATGCAGACTCCAAAAGCAAGGTAAGGATGTTTTGTAGCATTTCAATCATTCTTTTCCTGATTAAAGTTTCTGCTAATTATGTTTTTCTGGTACTGATGCTTTTGTAATATCCAAAGTGGACTATTTGCAATTGTACTCGATGTCCTTGAACCCTTTATCAGTTTTGTTTCAGGGAGCCTCCGCCTCCGGGGAGCACTGCCACCACTGGCCCCTCCCCTCTCTTTTTTGCTTCTTAATTTTTCCTTAAAAGGAAAAATTCAAAGTCTACTTAATCATTCATAGTTTCAAGTGTCTGTCCCAGTTTGTAGGTTGGACCTGGTAAGGTTCTGGGAAACTAGGCTTGATGAGTTGTTGTCAGTTATCAATGATTGTCTCCTACTTTTATTAGATGTTAAACATTTATATGTTGTCTTGTATAAGGTTTTGTTTCAAGAAATGCATGAAAATCTTCATGTGAACTGCATTATTAAAATGCATGGCAATATGGATCTGGATGATATATATATATATATATATATATATTTGGTGTAATTGTATGCACATATTTCTGAACTATCGTTGTCTCAATATCTTGTTAAGCTTTTTTTACCCCTTTTCAAGAAACAAATATGCTGGAAAGTTGGAAGGGAGTTTAGAATGATCCTAAAATGGTGGTTCACGGTTGTTTTACTTCTGCTTGAAAAAATGACGCAAGATCAGTTTCTTTATCGTGGGTGGCTGCTTAATCTTGAAGTTGTTGCTAGTCTATCAAGGGTTGACCCACCAGACCTATGGACAAGTTGCAAAAGTAGTTACATCCTCTTGAAAAAACCTATGATATGATACACCGTTTTGTTTAGCCATAGCTATTAGAGTCATCAACTAGAAGCTTCATCGATTTTCATTATATTTACTTCCATTCCATTGACTTTGACTGTAGAACAAGCTCCTTAGAAGTGCCTCAGAGAAAATCTCCTGCAACACCTCGAACTGCTCATAAACTGAAGATACCAGGATCTGATTCGGACAAAGTTTCCTCTCCAAATCCTGCAAGTAAAACACCCAAAGACAGAAGTCCTAAGGTTACTGAGCGTAAAGCATTGAGAAGCCCGGTATCTGAGGTATTCTTCAGTCACTTACGCCTAAATTAGGTTATTTTTATGGCAGTGTATCAAAATATGAAAAGTTAACTCTAGGATGTTGCAACTGCAATGAAGACAATTTCTGCACACTGTTTCATTCCATTATTACATGACATTTTTCTGTTTATTTATCTGCTTAGTTACTTCCACTTACATAATATCCACTCTTGTCATGTGAGCTCTAGAAGAAGCGCGCAAGCAGGTTGACTGAACTAGAAGCACAGCTCACTCAGCTCCAGGATGATCTAAAAAAGACGAAGGACCAACTGACTGCATCTGAGTCATGGAAGAGGCAAGCCATGCAAGATGCTGAGGAGGCCAAGAAGCAGCTATCAGCTGTGTCAACCAAGCTTGAAGAATCTGAACAGCAGTTGCTGGAAATTTCTGCCTCTGAGGATGAGCGTGTGCAAGAACTCCGTAAAATTTCACTAGATCGAGATAGAGCATGGCAGTCTGAACTTGAGGCTGTCCAGAAGCAGCACTTAATGGATTCTGCTGCCTTGGCTTCTGCCATTAATGAAATTCAAAAGCTTAAAGTTCAGCTGGAAAAGGCCTATGAATCTGAAGCCATTCAAACTAAGCATGCTGAATCTGCACATTCTGAGATTCAGAACTTGAGAATAGAACTGACTGAAACTCTCTCCCTGGTTGATAAACTTAAGTCTGAGCTCACTGGCTGCAGAGAATCTGAAGCCCAGGCTCTTGAAGTTGTTAGCAAAACCCAAATGCAACTGGAAGCAGCAAATAAAACCATAGAAATGCTGCGTTCTGATGCAACTGAAAAAACAGAAGCTTACAACATATTATCATTGGAGCTGGAGCAGTCAAAAGCTCGAGTCAAGTCACTAGAGGGACTTGTGAGCAAGCTCAAGGCAGAACTGGTTGGTAATAGCAGCAAAGTAATTAAGGATCCCAAAGACGATAAGTTACCACAGCAGAATGGACAAAATGAGGACATAAAGCAGCTCAAAACGGAGCTTAATTTTGCAAAACTTGAAGTGGGTCAATTGAGATCAGCATTGGATGCAGCTGAGGTCAGGTACCAAGAAGAATATATTCGGAGCACATTGCAAATTAGAAGTGCTTATGAACAAGTTGAATGCATAAGAACACAGTCATGCCGAAGGGAGGCAGAACTGGAGGCAGAAGTAAAGAGAATCAAAACTGATGTTGAAGAATTGAGAGCAAACTTAATGGATAAGGAGACTGAACTGCAGAGTATTTCAGAGGAAAATGAAGGGCTGAATTTGAAGATTGAGAAAAATCAGTCCAATGAGAGTGAATCTGAACATGCAGTAGAGTTAAAGAAGTTAGAGGCAGATTTGACAGAATTGAAAGCAAATTTGACAGTGAAGGAAACGGAGTTGCTGAGTGTAACCGAGCAAAATGAAATGCTGAAAATGGAAATTAAGAAGGGAATGGAGAGTAGTAAAGTTAGTGATGAATCTGTTGTATTGTTAGAAGCAGCAAGGGCTGCAGAACGAGAGGCTCTGATGAAACTTGGCTATTTAACTGAGGAAGCAGATAAAAGTAGCAGAAGAGCAGCATGCGTGACTGAACAGCTTGATGCAGCACAAGCAGCAAATAATGAAATGGAGGCTGAGTTGAGGAGACTAAAGGTGCAGTCAGATCAGTGGAGAAAGGCAGCTGAGGCAGCTGCCGCCATGCTTTCTGCAGGGAACAACGGGAAACATGTGGACAGGACCATATCTCTTGACAGCGACTATAATCCCCTAACGGGTTCACCCAACTCGGAAGACATGGACGATGATTCACCCAAGAAGAAAAATGGCACCATGTTGAAAAAGATAGCTGTGTTATGGAAGAAAGGCCAGAAGTAGATCAAGTGCATGGCAGGTTGCAAATATTTCTGCTCTAAATGTTTAATGGTCTATGGAAATTCTCTTAATTTTGCTCTTACACGTCTGCTCAAGGGTTAAAAGGTCACACCCCCTTAAGAAGACTATCATATATGCGAACACTTGCTCATTTTGTTAAGTTCTGCTCCTTCACCTAATGTCTGGTGGATTTGGATCTATATAACAAGAATCTTGTGGACAAGTCAACCAAAAGCAAATTGACATCATTTAGAATCACAAATTATTATTATTATTCGTAACAAACGACAATGTATCGTCTTGGTTAATTTTAATGCATTAAAGCTTCGATTTGATGGACGACCAATATGGTCCATTGTCCATCCAAATAAAGCCTCCCAAGTGATCATCTATCAAGCTCAAAACTTGTGATCCTAAATTCCTAATGATGTTTCTCAAGCCAAGATTTCATGATAATTCTGACACGTTCGAATAGATTACATGTCTGGTCAAGGGTTGTTTCCAATGGAGTTTCAGTGTTGGACTGTTCAGATATTTATGGGATGTGGTCCATACTTAGCGGGCTGATATCATGCCTAATATAGGAAGCGATCTCGAAGAGCTCGTCCACAACTCTTTACTGTATTTAATAAAAGAAATTCAGCTTGACCCAAGTTAGAGAACCTAGGCCAGTCAAGCAGCCCGAGGACAACTCATTCATATCTGAATCACTCTTATTGGAACCAAGCCTCCATTATGTGATTCGTAATATAACCCATTGAACCTAATTGGCGAGACCAACCCAAGTTTTGGAAGAAAGGACAAGCAGGCCAAAGGTACCTGTTCAATTAGTTTTTTCGTCCCAAACCACTGCCCATTATTAATGTAATCCCCATCTTTTCTAGGGTTAGAGCCTTCAGGGTTTGAACTCAGTGGCTGCTTCTTCTTCTTGTGTTCGCCTCAATATCTCTCAAACCCCTTATTCCAGTTGAAACAACCTCTCTCACCCAACATGGGGTATGTTTTCTTGTTCTTATTTATAGCTCAAATGGATAGGTTTTCTGTTTTCTTAGCTTTTCTATGCTCCTCTTTTATTTTTTAAACTGCTCTTGCTTATTCAATAAAACGAATGGGTTTTAGGGATGAGGGTTGGTTTTAGATGTCGGTGTTTTTGGATCTTCAAATCTTTTTTTAATTCTTTTCTTTTAATAAAATGACGAAAAAAGGAGAAATTTTTATAGCGTGAAGTGTATTGCTCTGCTTTTGATTTTGATCGCTGTTTTAGGCGGTTTAGCTCCAAGTTTTAAGTAATGAGTTAAATATGGATTTGGGTTTATGATTTCTTGTCTGAGAAGTGATATTAGCTTATCTAAGGGCAGAGAATGTTGCTTGGGTTAGAGTTTTAAGATATAGTAGAATTCCAGATGCATGGCAATTGAATAATGCTTGTTTGAAATTATATATGTTGCTTTCATATCAAGCTATACCTACTCCTTCAGTCCTTAATCAAACATTTTTTAGATGCTATAAAATTTGTAGTTAATTTATGGGATTAAGGATATTTCTTTCAGGAAGACACGTGGTATGGGAGCTGGACGCAAGCTGAGAACCCACCGCAGGAGGCAGAGGTGGGCTGATAAGGCATACAAAAAGTCGAACCTTGGAAATGAATGGAAGAAGCCATTTGCTGGTTCTTCCCATGCCAAAGGAATTGTCCTTGAGAAGATGTAAGATTAGATCTTTTTTTTTTCGGTGCTCTTGTATTCATTAAACTCTAATTCAATATGTGTACTGAGGGCTTTGTAACACACAGAGGTATTGAGGCCAAGCAGCCAAATTCTGCTATCAGAAAGTGTGCTAGAGTTCAGTTGATCAAGAATGGAAAGAAGATTGCCGCATTTGTTCCTAATGATGGTTGCTTAAACTACATTGAAGAGAATGTGAGTAGTACTTGAAGTGAAATCGTATCACATTAATTGTTTGTTTATGTTAAGTCTCTCTTTGCTGCTTCTCTTATGATGATAATAAATTGCTGTAGGATGAGGTGTTGATTGCTGGATTTGGCGAAAGGGTCATGCCGTCGGTGATATTCCCGGTGTTAGGTTCAAGGTTGTGAAGGTCTCTGGTGTTTCACTCTTGGCACTCTTCAAAGAGAAGAAGGAGAAGCCTAGATCATAAGTTTGTGAGTGAGCGGATGTCTCTTGTTGTCTTTTTATAGTTCTATTTAAAACTGAGAGCATATTATTGCTTGGTAGCTTTTTGAACAATCTTTTTATATATCTTCTGGTTATTGTAATGAATTTGTGGTGTCATCTTGTTCAAAAAGATTTTGGTGTTTTATTGCTGTTTGAAAGTGTTCTCTCATCCTCAAGCTATGATTTCTAGCATTTACTATTTTAGAACTGTTTTGCTTTTCTAGTCTCAACATACTGAAAGAAACTGAATTCGTTTTTGTTTATTTCAATTTAAACATATGTAAAATACAAAAATTATGAAATATATTTTTTGATTTTCACAGAATTTATATATGAATTTTTATTAAAATTTTAAATCAATTTGCACTGATTTGCAGATTTACAATTCAAAAATCTATTCATGCGCTTCTGTGAAAATATTTTCTTATTGCTAATAACTTAACATGTCAAAAACACAAATATTATAGAGGGTACTGAGAACAAGTAATGTTGCCAACATTCGAAGAAAAGGTAAAATAATAGCCATCACAATTGGGGCAGGGATTTGTTTACATCATGTCTTCACTAGTTGAAATCTTCTTTTTTGGGTTATCTTCTTCTAGTATTTTGAAATTTGAAGTAAATGACAATAGCAACATCCATATGCGTACTACAATATGACAACAAGAACGACATTCTAAGTCCACGTTTGCACTATGATATCAAGGACTGTTTTGGTAACTTACTGTAAAAATGGACATAAAATATTGCAATAAATAAACATCCATTTAACATCCATTTGACAAACATTCTCAATGATGTGGGCACAAAATCTATATTCAGGACACCAAAATTTTTCACTGCAATGCTTGCTCTCATTGCATTAATAAAGCATGTTTGGACGCAAAATCCAAACTAAGACTCCAAGTTAAGCCCTGAATTCTACGAGATGTGCTCCATAAGACGCTACCTAGATGAAATCAGAATATCAGGTTTGACTTTGTGGAATTCGGATTTAGAACGCTCATTACCGGATGACAGTACAAATTCTGCTTAGATACAAGAGTATTTCAGAATCTACAAGGCCGTTCTATCTAAAAATTACCAATAAGAATAATTGGGAGACCCCTACCATGGTCCCTTAAAAATTCTGAAACTAGACTGGTGAACTTAGCTGCTCTCTGGAATCGGTAATGCGGTTGTCTTGTCTATTGCCACCGCTGATCCTGGTAACATCTCCAGTGGTGCATCCATATTGTAAAATGAATCCCTGGCTGAGAAAGGTATCCTTGAGCCAGAAGTAACTTCAGGAGTCATTGAAGAAGAGAGGTGGGAGTGGGATTTGACAAACTGTTATCAAACTCCTTGTGGCCAGGAGCAACCACTTCCACAGCACCTCTGTTTCTGACTAAACCAGAAATTTGATCTTCAGTAAGAACTTCCTTCTTGTTGCTGTTATAAAGGAAAAGTGTATCAGTCTTCAGGTATGGATGACTGTATGTTTCATTTTCACCAGCTTTTTTTGATGCAATTGTGTTTTGAACATCATACCTGGAACTTAAATTATCTGTACTTTCATGTACTCCATCAATAGGAACAATCTTGGTATCTTTTATGCGAGCACCATCCTTGCCTCCTAGGCCCACTACTTGCTTCGGAAAACCTGGGCCTACAAATTTTTCTGCAGAACCAACGCCCTGAGACTTTGAGTAACTTTCTCTACCAGTTTTAGGAGAGAATTTATTCTGAAGTTTTGGAGATATGCCAGAGCTGCCTTTCGGATTTCTTGAAGCACTTGATACTTTTGCTGCAGCATTTGGAGATTTTTGAATAGATAAGGAAGATCTAGATTTTACAGCAGATGAAGTTTGCTTAACATCAACCTTGGGTCTCTGGATTGCGGTAAGAGTTCTAACAGGTTGAAATTTTCCAATCTTTGCCTTGTTTAAGCTTCCACTTGAACTCGTGCTTTTTGCTCCAATTTTAGGCAAGCCACTAGGTACACCAGGGTGAGACAGCATACTACCATTTGGAGTTCGTCCTGATGATCTTACCTGCATTCATCACAATATCACACAGGTTATACTACTTGCCCAACATAGCAAACTAGAGCTTAAAAGAATACAAGGAGGTGATTTTGTTCATTTAGATTTCATAATAGAATAGACTAGTTGTATCCTGTTTTCAGAAGATTCTGATAATGAAAATTTTTGTTTGCTTATTCTTGAAAGCAGTTTAAGCAAAAACCACTTCCCATCTGGTGCAGAGCAATATTAAGGAATAAGAACTAACCCCATCGAAGAAGCCAATTTTTGGTGATGGCATTCGAAGGCCGGAGGGTTTCATTGAGGCTGGATGAAGAAGCTCACTATTTCCAGCTCTAGTTCCAGCTGAAACTATGTTTACACTGTCATGAAGCGAACCACTAACCTCAGCACCAGCCCCCAGTGAGCACTGACCAACAGGATGGTTATGAAAATCCAAAACTTGTTGGGCATCACAATTTGTAGGGAGTCCCTTGCAAGATCCAGTGCTAAGGCTAGCTCTTAGAATACTAGACCTTTGATTAACAGTTGAGGTTGATGATGATGACTCTGAAGACCATTCACTGAGAGAGCTAGCAGGAGATATACTGGAAGAGAGCGTAGAAGACTTCAAAGGAGTAGAAATCTTTGAACTTCCTGCTTGATTTTTACCTTTTGATGCAATTTTAGATGTGGTGGTGATAGTGTAACCAGAGGAAGAAGAATTAAGTATTCTGGATTCATTTTTTAATTTAATCAAATTCAAGGAAGATTTATTAATTCTGTCAGATGATGCACTGGCACAACTTTCAAGTGAGGAACAAGAAGCTGTCAGCTCTGTTTTGCTAGAGGCTGGGGAGTAGGAAGAAGAGTTCGAAGATAGTTTAGGCCTAGGCACAATATTTCTTGCACCACCCAAAGCAGGACTCTTCAATACCGTAGTCCTCCTACCTACAACCACTAAATTAAATGGAGAGTGAATTAAACACAAAACATGGGCAAGAAAACTTCTTCTATTTTGATGAAGCTAATCTCTACGAATAGTAGTTTGAAACTTTGAATTACCAGTCACACCCTTTGCATCCTTTTCCATTTTGACATTCTTAGCACCCAAGGAAATCCTTTTGGTTGGTGCTGTTGAGATGGGACCAACCGAGCTTAATACCTTCAGTGGCTTATGAAAAGATGAAGTTGATTCTCCACTTCCAGCAACAGACTGTACAGCCTGGTGTTTATAAAACAAAAAACAAAATCAGAGTTTGCAGAGGTAGTAAATAGCAGTTATATGGTTGCATTTAGCAGTTGCATTAATTGAATTTTTACAGGATAGTTTACTATGAATCTGTATAACACCACAAGCCCGTTAATTTAACCTAAAGATTTAGATTTGGAAGTTTAAAATTTTCTTAGAATACCCTAGATTGTTAAATAATATTTTCTCTATCTCAAGTAGAAAAGGTGATAAAACTTGCAGTTACACATTTGCATCATATAGCACAATACATGCCTGTGAAATTTGTGGACGGACAACAACCTGTTTCAATGATTTCCCAGAGTCTTTCACACCAACGTTAGGCTTCTTTGGAGCAGCTTTCTGCTTCATCTGAAAAAAAAAAAAAAAAGTTTTGGAGAAATACAGCTAAGTAATAAGTAATGAAAATTAACAGCAGCTGGCATTTCTTGATTGTACCTTATTTTGAGTAGTAAATTCTACCTTCTTTGAGGCTGGAAATAAAAAGAAAACAGGGCACTGTCAGTTTGAGAATGACCATGTATGCCTAGCATGTTAATTGATGCCCTAGATCTAACGAAATATTATTTAGGAAGAAGACAGAAAAAAGCCTCAGAATATGAATGAAGGATTCAAGAGTAGGCATTTTAGGCAAGTAGGTAATTAAAAGAAATAAGGTCTGGACCAAGAAAAAGAAATAAAGTAAAAGAATGAATGTTCATTTTTGCCTATGGAAAAGTAGCATACATGATCTTCCATCTAGGGATAAGCAGAATGTAAGTTCTATTGACCTAATGATCACATTTCCCTCAAAGGAAATCCTTTGAAGTTGTATTTGTGCATCAAAGCAAAACAATTGGTTGCACCAGCATAAAAGAGTGCAGAGACAAAGAGAAACAAACTATACTTACATGGCACAGTTTGAGAATCCATTGTTTTCAATTCCTTTTTGCCACTAGAATTTGCAGTCTTGGACACTTTGTTAAATTTCTGGATTGAAGCTCTTATATCTTCAAATAAATCAGCCTCAAGACTTTCCAATGTCAAAGTTTCACTATCCAACATTGTTAACGAGTTACAAGATTTGTTTACATCCTCTTCAATCCTAGGCAATGTACGCATTTCACCTTTCTCGTTGCCTCCCAGCATGCTGGACAACTCCTCCGGATCAAGAACACCTAAAATAATAGAGAAATAATCATATAAAAACAGGAAATTTACAATCATAAATTGTTAAGCGTAAATAAAATCAACGAATTTGTACCTGTACTAGTAAAGAAAGCACTATCCCATGCCAAACTTTTGCGCAAATTATATTTTCCATATTTTTTAGTCTTGTCTTGTTCCAAAGATTCCGGTGGTTCCTCTAGCTTTCCAACTTCTTCAAGGGAGCCTAATGAGATTTCTACGATGTCAGGGTCAATAGCAAAGCTAACAGTTTTGGCTTCTCTCCCCTTCTCTGTACAATAAACAAAATCCAATCTGTCAGGAAAAAAAAGAAAAGAAAAACAAAAGTTTTGCAACAATAAAATGAGATTAAGTTTCAAATTTAATATGCAAAAAGAAATGAGGATCACCATCTTTTATTTTTCAAAAAGCAGCCCAAATTATCTACTGTTAATGAGAAATTGCTTTCAAAAAAACCCAAATGAATCCAATATCAATCAGTTACAAAGCAGCTAACGTTAATGAGAAATTGCTTCCATAAAAGCAAACGAAATCCATTATTGACTACTTTGAAAGTTTATTGGAAGCAATTTGTATAACAAATACCTAGTCAAATCGATGAAACATTCGAAAAAAAAGAAAGAACTAGCTTAACATCTATGACTTTTTAACCTAAAATTTGGTAACAAAGCTGTTAATTACATGAATAAATTAGCCAGAAAGCATTTTACCATCCTTTTGAAGCATGATCAAGATGTTAGACAAATGGAAAATAGATATATAGATCCTGCAATACTTCAACAAAACCTAAAACAGCTTTAAAATTAAAGGATATTCAAATCAAGAAAGTCCAATTTTTGGTAAAACCAGAAATATTTGCATTTTTTTTTCTTATTTCCATGCAAAATCAAGAGGAAATGATATAATATTAAAGAGAAACCTGAGGATTGTGGGTTTATAGGACTGCAGAGAGGCGAGTTGAGGAGGCAATCGTCTTCAGACGAAACGTCGATGAGGCTTAGCCCTTTGATATCAAAATCGCTTTGCCTCTCAGAATCACCCATTTTCGGATGAAGACTAATAGCAGATCGAATAAAAAATGTGGCGATTAAAATAATAATTATTGAAGGCGAGATGAGTGAAAAGTAAAGAAAAAAGAGAGAAGTGAATTTTGAATTTGGGAGAAGAGGCAGTTCAAAATTAAATTAATCAATTAAATAAGCGAAGAAAAAGATTTTAAAAGAAGGGAGCGTTTGATGTACATCACACTTACACCGAGGTGTAGGTACGAATTCCTTCCTAGGGACGTGGGACCGTTACACGTGTGTGGTGATCAGGCGATTTCGACGTTGGGTTTCCCGTTTAATTCTTTCTTGGGAAAATTTATTTATTAACAATTGATTACACACGTACTTGTCAGTTACCGGACTCATCCAACGGCTGTCGAGATTTTGATATCGCTGTGAAAGAATTCAATGGATGGTCTAGATCGTTTGATTTGTGCATAAAAATCAATTTTCGTTTTATCCAGAAGTTAGATAGAAGTACCATATTGTAGTTCTCTTGAGCCGGAAGGAATGAGAGGGAAGCATTGATGAGCAGTAACCCAATTCCCGTCAGATGAGCAGTAAGGGGATGATGCCAGGGCGCTGCCACCTTAAAATCACATGATTACAAAGGCAATGAGGTTTCAAAGTAAAGCATTGCCTCGGACCCAAGATGTTGTGAAGATGCTGCAGTTCATGATGGGAATCAAGAAATTCGCTTATCATGAGAGTGCTCGAGCCATCTGAAGCTGTTGCAGTTTGAAGAATATATCTGAACCACGTCAAAAGAGTCCAAAGCTCCCAAGCTTCAGCAAGACAGGCAGGCAGCAATTTAGGAGAAAATGCATTTACAAACCATACTCAAATTGCAGCTTTGATGCTTTTCAGGATAAAAATTTCTGTAAAAACCACATTATTATCATGTTATACTTATAAAAAAACCCTGAGAGAGAACATTGCAAAAAAGTGGTGGTGCACCAAATTTAACTAACTGAATATAAAAATGTTTTCACAACAGCAAATCAAAATGTGCAAGATGATCAGTCATATAAATTAACCTGCTTGCTAGAATTTGCAACAGTAATAGCTATGTCAACTGTTTGATCCTACCATTTTCAAGTAATACATCTTACAACAATAACTGTATATAACCTCATAAAGAAAAGAATTTAGAAGTTCAAACCTTTAGCTGTGAATGCTTAACCTCTCTTTCTACGTCAACTTGACTAGAATCTAGGGCATCAAGTAGCATTTTCATCTCCACATGTTTCATCCATTCTGCTTCGCTTAGTTCCATCTGGAGAAGCTTTAGTTGGTGTAAATGCCAGTCGCTTGAGGCTGTAACAAGTGAAGGTCCAAAAATGCTGTATCTTCCTGAACTGCTGAAAGCTGTTTCTGCATCTGCACCTTTTTTTAAAAATCATTTTGGCCCAGATGCTCTTTTTGGACACTTCAGCCACTGGCGCACCCAAAGGCCCATAATGGCTAAATATCTTTTTCAGGTCTTCTACTGAAGGAACCGAATCTATGTCTGAAAAATTCAGACTTAGAGCAGTTGGACATAGATCCTCCAAACAGCTTTCATTTAGAGCAGTTGGAGATCGCTTGAACAGCCGGTTGCAATTCATCAACAGAATGACTTTTTTCACTAGAAGTGTTAGGAGAAACCTCTGTGGTTTGGTTGTGCTTGTCAACTGCTAATTGCTCACAGGAAGGCATTGGATTATCCAGTTAGAACAACAAGAGTCTTTGATTGAAGTCAATTCAGACTTTCCGGCAATTTTGAACCTCGTTGATTTCTCACCCATTATGACATCAGTTCCTTGTTCCAAAGATTGTTCAGACGTTTCAGAAATGTTAAGATCCATAGCAATTGAATTCCTCAGCTCTGCAAAGAAAAAAGCTATAAAGCCCAAGAAACTATACCGTTTCAAGGGATCTGTGGCAGCCAAGCAAAGCTGTGAAAGCATCTCATCAGGGGAAGATAAACCTTTTTAAAAAACCTTCTTCCCTTGAGATTTACCAGAAGAAGATTTTCCCTTAGTTTTATTATTAACTGCAGACCTTTGAGATGTCCCATCACCATGCCTAAGTACTAGCGTTGAAACTGTTGAACCATTCAGTAGGCTTGCAACCCTAAGTATGCTAGCTCCAACTCTAAAAGTATGCTTAGATGGCAGAGACTTATCAATAGATCCACTTGACATATAACTTTTTTTCTGTTTCTCCACTGAGCCATCATGCACAGAGCCAACAGCCTTTAGTTTTTAGCTGGGGATGAAGAAATTAACTTGTCACCAGTTTTGTTATTCAATTTCCTTTTACCATTTTGCAAACTCAAGCGCCTCTCAGCTATAAACTCCGACAAGCTCTTCTCGCTTTTGCTGGAAACTGTAGGGATTTTCTTTCGTTTATGACATGAGCCACCTCGACTCTCTGGCTTCTCTTTGTCAACTTTGACACTAGGAACATCATTTTCAATCAGTTTGCTACATTTCTTCACTTCCTTAGAGAGAGGGATCTTCGCATCAGTATCCAATCCGCAAAGATTTTGAAATTCTGGTAGCTTAGAGTAACCCTTCCAGCGAAGGAATGCCAACAATTGTGCCTGCGATTTTATGAATTGCAGTCTATCAACCTCGCTATAATAAGGTGATTGGGCCAATGCTTTCATAGTTTCAACAAGTTCAAAAGGGTCAAAAAAAGCAGCACTTGAAAACCTGTCCCCACCATCTCTTCTACTAGATTCTTCCCGGATCCCAGTATTAACAATTATCTGAGTTTTGACCTGGGCATATGCTTCCTCAGAAATGCAAGAACAGGCCAGACCAAACTCTACCCGTCTAGAAACCTCATCCAAAGCACAATCAACAGCATATTGAAACTCTTCCATGTTATTCTGCTTTTCCATATGTGAGAAATTGGGCATGAAGGGCTTGATCCGTGATGCTTCATTCCAAGCAAATGTCTGATCACCAAAATATGCAATCAAATAACAGTCCTTTTTAAAATACTTCTTCGCCTTTGCCGTTGCAGCTAAATGATCAAATATCTGTCCAGGCCACCAAGGATGACTTCTTACTTTGCCCCACACTAAATCAGAGACATAAAAATCTCGTTCTTCTGGTTTTTCTGGTTTTGCATTAACATCAAGCAATACATCCTCATCTATGCTTGTACATTGATTCAAGTCTACTGCATCATTTGACAGATTAGACCTATTTTCTTCATTCTGAAGAACCCTGTCTCCTTCACCACAGATGGCATTGATTTGATTTTTGTTGGTATCATCGGGTGTATCAATTTCCATATCCCGACTTTCTAATCTGCTAGAAGATTCTTCCTTTGAACTTATGTTCTGGTTGCCACAAGGTAAAGAATTTTCATGGCCTAAAGCCAAAGAAAGGGGCTTCTCATCAGCAGAACCTGAATCAGGAGCAATATCAGACTGAATGGTATTATCAGCAATTGAGCTTGACGGAACACTAGTCCCCTCTATCAATGAGTCCTCATTAGGACAGACACTAACATTAAGGTCCTCGGCTACCCCACCCGGAGACCTCACAGCCATTTCTTCAGTCTCCACTGGTTTCTCGTCTTCCATAAAAACGCTTTCTCCATTTCCAGTTCCTCTTGATCCTCCATCAACCTCCATCAAAGAAATTCCACCCAAGCTCAACTTGGTGCTAACTTCATCATCCACCTCTTCACCTAAAGATCCACTATCAGCTTCCAAATCAATCCCTGGATTTTTTACGCTCTCAATTTCGCTTTCTTTCCGTGACTCAGCAACCCCATCACCAGCCGACTCATTATCCTCCCCAATGTCCCAAACCCCCGCATCAACTATTCGTCCCGTTACGGTTTCGGCCTCCCCACCATTTACATCTTTATCCTCATTCTCTCGGTCAACCAGAACAGCATCACAATTTAAGTCGATTTCTTCAGGAATTTTTTTCGACATTAAAGAATCCTAAAAATAAAATAATATGAAAATATAAAAAATTCCAATTCACTAAATAATAATTAAAAAAAAAACCAGTAAACCATTAATGGCTCATAATAGATACTAATAAAACCAAAATTGCGAAGAGATTAACAAATAAAATTAATTAAGCAAAAAAAACTTCTTACCGTAAAGAAATGGGGTTGCCCTAAGCCCAAGAGTAAAATGAAGTATGAAAAATCCTGAGATATTTGGGGAAAGGTTTTTGGGAGAGAGGGGATGGGGGGTCGTGCTTGTGTTTTACAGTTTCACCGGAAATTGTCATTTTCGTTTCGGGTCCCTTTTAAAAGAATGACATCTGGCGGACACGCGGCGGAGATCAGAAGTGTTTTTGTCTTTTTTTAAGCTGATGACAAGCGTTTTTTAGTACAAAGAAAAAGTTGGCTATCCTAAATTCCTACCTTGGAGTAGAATACGATGGCAATGGAGAAGTGTTGATTGCTATTTTCCACGTGTCAGTTGATTAGGAAGTTGGAGAGTGCAGACTGACTAGCCTCTTCGCTAATCATGTTTGTAAACATGTTTGTAACACGTGATTTGTCCAACTTTTTTTTTTCAAACATAATAATTAGTTCACATTACCATCGAACAATATTAAATATTATATATTTTTAATCTTGAGTAATTTAATACTCAACATATATTTACTCTTGTTATTAAAATGAAATGTTTGTTTATTAAATTAAAATTTAATTTCATTAATTTATATAAATACATTTAAAAAATAATATTTAATAAATTTAAAATTCAAATTTTAATATTTATAATATCTTTTTATTTTCAAGCTACCATCTTAAAATGTTTGTTCACTAAACATTTAAAAGTTTGACTTATTATTTAAAGATAAATATCACATTACATCTAAATTTATGAACGAATAATAATTACTAATTCGTGAACAATTTAACCAACCCGTGTACATTGTTATGATATCTATTATTCACTTTTATATTTTTCTATTAGTTACTAATTACAAAAAAGAATTAACAAAGTAAAATATATTTCCATGGCACAAATAGAAATAAGGCACTACTATTAAATTACTAAAAAGGATCCGGCCCATGTTAGGCCTAAGTAGGTCCACAGGCTTCAAAGGCAGTCGAAATGTCCAATTACAAAAACCAGAAAAACCTTCACGTTTTCGTTTGCCCCTGCCGCAAATCTCCCGCCAAAAAGCTGTGAATAAAATAAAAAGATGAAATTTTCATCCAAATCTTGATGAACACTCGGAAGCCAAATTTAAATCACCTGCACCTCCGTCAAGATGTTCGGATCTCACGGAGAGAGCACGATCGACAAATACGGTTCGATCAATGCAAGCAACATTGGCTCGATCGTTCCCGTTTATTTCAACGAAAACGAGTACTCCAAGGACGAAGAGAAGCTGGTTTTTGAGCTCATTCGTTTCTTCTCCGTTCCTCCAGGGCAAGATCTTGCTCATCAGGTCTACCTTCCTCTCAGATTTCTAGACGATTGAGAGTGATCCGTTCTAAGTTTAACATTTCTCAATTAGGTGAATTAGGCATATAAATGGACGATTTAAGTAGGGATTTACTTTAATTATTTCAAATTTTTTGTTTTATTACCTTATTAGTAATTTTAGAGTAGTTAAGTTCTTCTGCTGAGTGTTGACTTTTTAAACCCTAAATCAATTAATTAGCAGGTGTAATACCAACTTATTAGCTACAAACTTAGATATTTCATGATGAACAGGTAAAGGATGATTCTGGTGCCCTCTCTTTGTCTCTTGATTTCCAACAATTTCGAAAATCATGTGATATTGAAGAATTCTATGCAAATTTGGAAGATAAACCTAAAATAGCTCTCTCCTGTGTGAGTGCTGCAGTTCACCAGGTATAAAATAAATGATGAAAGAAGTGAATTTTAAGTTTATTTAGAGTCAATTTAATCGCAGAGATGTGTTGCGAGCAGGTTTTATTAAGCAACTCGGATTTCTACTTGGAGGAAGGATTGAAGATAAATATTCGTCTGCACAACTACCCTGAATCCCTGATTGTCTTGAAGAACTTAAAGGCAGCATATATTGGTACCTTTTGATTTCAACTTTTAGTTATAGTTGTTTAGTTCTCCAGCTTTCATTTAAGAAATGATTCATGTAAATGACAGCTATTTGATGACATATGCAGATAAGCTTGTGTCCGTGCGTGGCACTGTGGTAAAAGCTAGCACTGTTAAACCTCTTGTGATTAAAATGAATTTTGCCTGTGAAAAATGCACAACAGAGATTCCTCGTTTGTTTCCCGATGGCAAATTTTCACCGCCAACGGCTTGTACTTTACATGGCTGCAAGAGCCGAACATTCAAACCAATTCGATCTTCAGCTCAAGCAATAGATTTTCAGAAGATAAGGTAAACAACTAGGTGCCTGTCACCAGATGTCAAAGTATTTCTTAGTGAATCCATACACACTCGTACATCCACACATCATTTTAGCATTTCATTACATTTGAAGATAATTTTACACAAACTCCAGGCTACAGGAGCTACTGAAGTCTGAGGATCATGAAGAAGGTCGAGTGCCTCGAACAGTAGAATGCGAATTGACTGAGGATCTTGTTGATGTTTGCATCCCTGGGGATGTAGTAACAGTCACTGGAATTATCAGAGTTATCAACAATTACATGGATATTGGAGGAGGTATCATAAGGAGATTATGTTGGAACCAATTTATCATGGAATTTTGCATGTCTAATTAGTGTTCTTTCTTTTCCCCGCCTTTCCATGCCATTTGGAAATAAGTTTGCAAACAATATCTCATTTTTAGTAAAGGAAGAAATAACGTTAATGTGCAACCATTTAGTTATTTCCATTACATACATACAAACATGCATCTTCATGCATGTATGCATTGTGATTTCAGAACTTAAAGGATCATTGATATTTTATGTTAGAAAGAAACTTCAACTGCAACCAAACACATGCATACATCTACCTGGTTTCTATTTGTAACATAGCTTGGAAAAAACTTTGATTGTTTTCAGGAAAATCAAAAAGCCGAAATCAAGGATTCTACTATCTGTACATAGAAGCAGTTTCCGTAAAAAATTCCAAGTCACAGTCTACACCCGAGGACTTGCAAGATTCCAATAGTAATCATAGACCGACAGACCTGGTTGAGTTGTTCTCATTCTCTCCAAGGGATTTGGAATTCATTGTTAAGTTTTCAGAAGAACATGGTTCTGATGTCTTTCGGCAAATACTTCAATCCATATGTCCATCAATCTATGGACATGAGCTTGTTAAAGGTAAACCTTGAATTCACACTTGAGTGAAACTTCTTCAATATTGTCATCTAAAATGGTAATAATATTGGCTAATATGTAATGTTGTAATTTCGTGGCACCTGCATCCATTCGGATTGCATTGGAAGTGAGGAATGTTTTAAAAGTCCACAGTTGGAAAAAAGTATTACATACAAAAATCATGAGATTCCAAACAATTCTTACCTTGCATTTCTTAAGCAAATACCAACTGCCACCATGCCACCAACCCATTATATGTGCTTGTAATCTGTAAATTTGTTTGATGTAAACCTTATGCCAAGTAGCATGATTGGTGTGACCTATGGACATGGTCAATTTAATTGTGGTCTTCTATTTATGTGAATGTTTGGCTTTCCCAACAGCTGGAATAACCTTGGCATTGTTTGGTGGTGTAAGAAAACATTCAATGGATCAGAATAAGGTCCCAGTCAGGGGAGACATCCATGTCATTGTTGTTGGTATGCTTATTTTCATCTGCTTCTTTTATAATTAGAAGTCTTCCTGCTGTTTTGCATTTTTAAGTAGGAAAAAGCTTATATCACATTACCATCCAGGTCATCCTTTAAAAAGTTTCTGAAGATAAACTGAATAGATTGAATCTTAACAATTACTACTATTTTACCAGGCGATCCAGGTCTAGGAAAGAGTCAATTACTGCAAGCAGCAGCAGCTATTTCCCCACGTGGCATATATGTCTGTGGCAATGCCACTACCAATGCTGGTCTCACTGTAGCTGTAGTGAAGGATACCATGACAAGTGACTATGCTTTCGAGGCTGGTAGTGGATTCTTTCTCTCCCTTGTTTGAAAGTTGATATTTACTGTTTTGGTCTCTTTGATGCATCAACCTAGTTTTGATGAGCATGAAATTAGCTGATTTCAAATGTATTTTGCCACCCAAGAACCAGACAGTTGTGTTATAGTGGAAAGACAAGCTTATATTCTTTCTTGTAATGACTACATTTGCTGCAGGAGCCATGGTACTTGCAGACCGTGGATTATGCTGTATAGATGAGTTTGATAAAATGTCCGCTGAACATCAGGTTTCTCCTGACTGCTTTATTTATCATTTGACCTATAAGTATCCAGGCTATCTTTCACTTACATCGGGATTAAGGCAGGCTTTACTGGAAGCAATGGAACAGCAGTGTGTTTCTGTTGCAAAAGCTGGACTTGTAGCAAGTTTATCTGCTCGAACATCTGTCTTAGCAGCAGCAAATCCTGTTGGTGGTCATTATAAGTAAAACTTTGTTAATTCTATTATTCTTTTTTTGCCCTTTATTTTCACATGCTGATAAATCAATTCATATATATATATATATATTGAGAAAGGATCGAGTTACACTGTGTGAAACTTTTACACACGAGTGATTTTTCTTGGGAACTTGTCAGCTAACTAGTCCATCAAGAGCCAGTTCTCTTTATCTTATTCAGTAGACTCATAAATTTTTTGTTGGTTTTACATTGTTTTAATAAATTTTTTTTCAAGGGATGATACTTGTATTATTTGTTGATAATTAATAAGATCCAATCTCCAATTGCAGCCGTGCAAAAACAGTCAATGAAAATTTGAAAATGAATGCAGCTTTGCTCTCACGATTTGATTTGGTTTTCATATTGCTTGATAAACCTGATGAGTTACTGGACAAGCAACTCTCGGAGCACATAATGTCAGTAAGTAATCTTTCCTGGCCCCTTTATACTGGTGAATTCCCGTGTGTGAATAACTATATATATATATATATCTTGGAGGCTTACCTTCAGCTTTTGTACCTTATAACAAAAATAAAATAGCTTATTGACCACATTGTATAAGCCTGAGCCAAGGTTTAATAAAGCCAAATGTCATTTACCCTAGTGTCTATGTTGCAGCTTCACGCTGGATATGGAGAAAATTCACCTGCTGTGAAAAAGCCACGTATAGGTAAAGGTTTCTTTCTTTCTTTTCTTCAATCTGCCTTATAGAAATTGTTTATACATGTAAACGAATCCTGTTTACAAAGAGAATCTAACAAGAAATACATTCTGATTTACAAATGTAGCATCACAAAATGTTGAAGGAATAGGTACGAGTGTGAAAGGAGGTTCTTTAGTTTCTAGGCTTAGACTTGACCCCAAAAGGGATGCTGATTTTGTTTCATTGCCTAGTGCACTTCTTCGCAAATATATTGCTTACGCAAGAACCTATGTCTTCCCCAGGTGATTTGAGGCGATCTCCACCTTGAACTCGTATTTGCTTATATTATCAATTGGTTTTCTTTTATTGTTATCTCTTTTCTTCTATGTAAATTAGAATGTCAAAACCAGCTGCGGAGATCCTGCAAAAGTTCTACTTACAACTTAGAGACCATAGTACATCTGGTGATGGTACACCTATAACAGCAAGACAGCTGGAGAGTCTGGTGAGATTGACAGAAGCTCGAGCACGAGTAGAGTTGAGAGAAGAAATAACAGCCCAAGATGCTAGGGTAAGCGGATTACTTTTTCCTTGGCTTCTAGGTTAAGCAGGTAGGGTATAACTTGATAATGATCACTCAGATCTTATTGTCTAAATTATAAGTCATACTTAATAATTTATTTCATTTTTGTTTTGGATTTCCTTTCAATCATCTGAAAACGGTTTTTCTTTTATCAAACTTCAAAAGTAGTAAAGATTTTCCATGAAAATTTTCCAAAAATAATTCTATACACTGTTATCCAGTGAAGATTAAAGAAATTTTCATTAGTTCAGAACAACTAAGCCCTCGGTTAAGACCTTTTCTTGATTATTTTTTAAAAATTTGGATTATGTTATTTTGCAGGATGCAGTTGAAATAATGAAAGAATCCCTGTATGATAAGTATGTTGATGAGCATGGTTTTGTGGATTTTGGTCGAAGTGGGGGGATGAGTCAACAAAAAGAAGCAAAGCGCTTTTTAAGTGCTCTGAACAAGCAGTCAGAGCTGCAGCAGAAAGATTGCTTCTCCATATCTGTATGAACTTTAGCTTCCTATGGCTGGTCTTTCAAATATTTTATTCTCATTAAAGGAAATCATCCATACCTACTTATTTTATTTCAGGAAATATACAGTTTGGCAGATAGAATTAGCTTAAGGGTTCCTGATATTGACACATTTGTGGATAACTTAAACAGTGTAGGTTATCTTCTTAAGAAGGGACCAAAGACATATCAGGTATGATCTCTGAAGCTCTAGACACCAGAAAACAAGACATTTGAGAATTGTTACTTATTATATTTAAATATAAGAAAATGATATATATCTGAGAGAATGAATGCTCGATTACAAAAAAAAAAAAAAAATCTATGCAATTCATTACTTAAAGGAACCAAACATCCTCTAGTAGGTTTTCAATGTTTCCATCTCAATTTTATGGACGTACATAAATTATAGCCAACTCAAGATCCAGATGGAATTCATTACTACGATCTAGCATTTTCAGGCACCAGATAAAGTATTTAGGCATATAACAGGTAACTTATTGTTCATGTATTATGCTGATGTAACACCATTTGGGTAGGCTGCTTAGTGTAAATAATAACATTCAATTAAGATAATTAAGTTCATTAAAGATAAAGGATTAAGGATAAATTCATGAATGGCCTTTGACTGACCATGCTCTCTCTTACAGGTGTTATCATCATCCTATTCACGGAGCCAACCATCAAGATCAAGATGCTAAACACCTTCATAATAAAATAGGCAAGAATCCAATTACGAATTTGTGAAATTCTATTATGCTTCCACATGCATAGACATGAGAAAGAGGGGGGAATGATTCTGATGCATTGTTTTTAAAATACAATGGGGATTAACAATATGACCTATGGACAGTTCCATTGCGGTCATGTATAATCGAAACATTTACTTTTTAAGTAATTGGAAAAGTGTGCTAACACAGTTTCAGCTTTAGCATTAGCATGAATCACCTCTGTATTTCTTCTCAAAATGTTTCTAGGTTATATACAATACAATGAAACCATGTAATTTATCTGATTTTTTTGCATCTGAAATTCATAGACATTAAAGTTCATGTGGTTATACTAACTCGAAGGCATAATCATCTGTCTATAAGTTCAGAATGCCACTCACTCCCTGCCTCGATTATGAAGCATGCTTGCTAGTAAACATCCTTGAAAGCATCTCCATGGAGATTTTCTTGTACTTGGTCAATCTTTTCCAAAGCAAAAGTTCTTCCCCTGGTTTTCTAGCCACTGAAATTCCATTTGCCAGACTGCCATAAGTAGCAACATTAGGGTAAAACCCATTTTCTTACATTCTCTGGATTATTTTCTTTGCTTCTTCAACCAGTCCCAGCCCACAATATCCCTCCACCAACATGTTCCAAGCAACCAAGTCAACTTTCACCCATGAATCTCTAAGCATCTCATTGAGAATCTTGTTAGCTAACTTTGGTTGACCTGACAAAGCAAAACCTTTCATCAATCTATATGCATCCATCAATCAATCGATTATATGGAACCACATCACCCTTAATCTGTGCATCATCAGCCATCTTCCTTAGTAACCCCTTTGCCTTATCTATTTGCAACTGCTGCCTTATCATCTTGATGCCTATTTGCCTCTAGCATCCTAACTGTGTTAGTATACCTGCCATCATGTAACCAACCTTTCATTAAAGTTGTATAAATCCTAGAATTAGGTGCATACGCTTTTGGCAATAATGGTGGTTCACTGCTTGGCTCAATAGAATTAGGAAGTAATTTTCTTAAATACGATATCATCTCTCATTTTGACTCAAATCTTTCCTAACTCCTCATCTTTGGGAGAATCTTACAAAGATCATTCCTTCCTTCCCTCACAGCTGTTTCAAGATCATCAAATCCAACATAGGCAGCGACGAAAGAATGCAAACTAATCATACAAAATGCTATAGTGCAGCAGCTGCAGCTTCCTGATGAAAATTTTCTTGACAGTTCAATGATTTCGTGAAAATCTTGCATGTATTCTGAACTTGTAGAAGTGGTTACAGTTTTGGCAAATATTTTCCTTTCAGTATTTCATAAGCATCAATCTTTTTGAAAAAAAATAGTCAAGTTACAGAAAAAAAAAACACCAAATCTATTACCTCTTTGGGTTTCTTTATATAATGCAGCCAGCTAAATCTCCAATAAGCTTAATCCATTTTTCCTTTTCATTTTACTCACCATCCCTAACAAAAATCTGAGAACAGTATTTAATTTTGTTTCAACTTAGTACTATCATGTGAATTCTTTCCCAGTGTCCTTGCATTAGCAGCTGTTAGTGTTTTCAGAAAGTTCATGTACCTCATACACTATCGGAGAACCACAGAAGACACTCGTTAATATTCATTGGAACCATGATAGCTAATCTGAATATCACCAATTCATTGACGATAAAGCAAACATACCACAATTACTTTTGCATCTTTACCCATCAGAAGAACATGAACCTTTTCAGACTATGGCTTACCATTATTCTCAGAATTATTTTTGAACCCTGGAGAAATGTTATTTTATTTCTTTTTTAAGTCCAAGTACAAATCTAATAAAAGCCATCACTATAAAAAGCAAAAACAGAAGAAAACAGAGGATCTCTCTTCTGAAAATGTTGTGGTGGTAGATATTAGTTTATCATAAAACATCATAAAAGAGAAAGCAAATAGAAGCGCTAGAACACGAGTATAACAGCAACTGCAAGAAAAAGAAAATCTGAGGACTAAAAGTTATTTAAGAATGCATCTTACCTGGCACCATAAGCGTAACAGAAGGACACCACCATTCCTACTGAGTACAGTCAACCATAATATATGGAACCATAAGTCTTCAAATATAAATTTTTAACTTAAGAATAGCAGCAACTGCTTACCTGTGAAAGTCCAAAAGGGTATGGCAGGAATGCAGTTGTCTGCATCCCTAACGAGAAAACACAAATTTACAACTAGGTGCCACTATTCAGGCACAAAAGGTAAAATATCAAACTACTTATTCTTTCCCCATCAAATCAAACACAAGCAGCATTGGTATTGAGAAATTGTTGGTAGCATGAATCTAGAGCCCAAAACTTACAAACTAACAAAAAAAAAAAACACTTAGAATGAAGCTAAATGACTGAATGAACAATTCTAAAACCTTTTGCTAATATGCAACTGAGTTAATCTTACTTGTTCACGGGAATAAAAGGCCAACACAAAGCTTACTAAGTCAATAGAAACTGAACTCTGGCTCTCCTCCAGCGAGAATAAAGAGGAAGGCAAACTTCAAATGTAAGAATAACTAAGAAAATTAAACACATAAAACCCAATACTTTAGCCGATATTAAGTAACAACCGTACCTTATAAACTTGATCTTTCATCGTCGACCTTGCATACTCAGCCGACATCGAATTTCCCTTCTGAATCAGATTTCGCCCTATGCCTCTCTAAAACCCTAAACGCTTCGCTCTCTCCCTCATCGTACCGGCCCCAGACTTGTAAACAGTAAGCTAGTTTCAACCTCAGGATCTGAACCAAGTGCTAAGAGAGGTTTGTTACTGTTTGGAAAGTGGAAATTTTGGAGACAGGATAGGAGAGAAGTTTGTGAGGCAGTGGGAAAAAGACTTAGTGGAAAGGATAGAGATGTTTGGGAGCGAACCTAACGGCTAAATTTTTGCCAAAAAAAAATGAAACGGTTACATGTTTGACCACCGACATCGGTTACGTCATATTTGAAAAGGAAAAAATATTTATTTATTTTTAACATTCGACGGTCCTCTTTTTTTTTTTTTTTTTACACGTGTTTTGTTTTTATCACTTAGTTAAATACCACAACGTCGTTTTAGGTTTTCTTCTTTTCATATCTTAATTTCATATAAAATAAATAACCGGTTCCATTATGTCACCAAATTACAATGTGTATGTAATAAAACAAAAAAAAAAACCAATTTATTTTCAAATATTTCATATTTTGTTATTATATTCAACTCTAATCATATTATATCTTTTTTTTTTTATCTAACATCTTTGATTACAAATATTTTAATTCTTGCAAATGATTATCCAAAATTTATGATTAAATAATAATAAAATTAAAAAAAATTTTGATAATTTCAAATGCATATTGTCAAGTAATTTTTTATAGATTGTCTTGTCTAAACTACTACTTATTTAAAAGAAGAATATGAGTGAAGAAAAAGCATGTCATAGATTATTATGTATCAACTTTTAAAGCAATGCATGTAATGTAATAAAAAGTAACGTGTGACTTGAAAGACATAATTGACTATAGATATCAAAATCTACCACCTTGTATTATGTAAAAATGAAAGTGATTTTGGCTCGACATCCATTGTTTTGTTTTATTATAATCTGTTTTTTTTGTTGAATTATAATGTAAATAGTACAAGATTGATCTCGAAGAGAAACATCCATTTTTCATGATGTTGTTCTATCAAATCTAAAATCAATTTATAATTGGATGAAAACTCATATCTTCTATGAAAAATTCTAAGATACTGTAAATTCAATCCACCCAAACCATTTAGAATGGTTTTTGTTTTGTTTTTTTTTCTTGTAAAGGACAGAAACTCAAAGGATATAAAGTTATATCATGCAACAACCTCAAAATTTTACAAGCTCAAAAACTTGTCTATTTGTACATGAACAAACAAAAGATTTAACAAAGAATTTAAGGAAAACAGAAGGGGATAGAAGAGATTTGTCTCTTTGTAAAATGACAAACAAAAGACTACCGTGCTGCTGGCCTTGCAATGGATTCATCAAAGGACAGGTAATTATCAGTTCCAGGGTTAAAGGAAGAATTTGCAGAGTTCCTAGACATGTCATCTGAATTACCTTCTCTCACCACCATTCCTTCCCTTTCAATTAAGATAGCATCTTGGATCTCCTTAAGAACTTCCGATATCGATGGCCTCATATGTCCATGAGGTTGAACACAATTCAGAGCTTTCTCTGCTATCTTCCACATTGATTGGATGTCGTATTCATTGCGAAGGGAAGGATCAATGATTCTTTGAATGTCCCCACTCTCAATATGCAACTTCGCCTGCAATATATTTATTTGAAGAAATCAACAAATGAAACCATGTAAGAAATACAAGAGCAAAATCATTTGCAACCATATCAGAGCTTGCAACTAATGTCCTTCCCGATAGTTCCAAACAATGTGTAGCAGGAAAGTACATATAGAAATCTATAAGGTGATGATGCACTGAAGGAAATAAAAGTAACATTTTGGACAATTTCACTGTTGTTATTTACCATAGTTACTTTTTAGATGTGAATTAATTGTTCAGAAGTTATGTAAAACTTTATATTAATAAGATATGTACTTCAAACAAAAAGTTTCCTCGTGCCTTTCGGTATGAACTTACCCATTGGACAATGTTACGGCAATTAACACCAAAGCTTTCATTAGATATGGCTTCCTGACCAGACATCAGTTCTAGAAGAATGACACCAAAGCTATAGACATCACTTTTATCTGTTAATTGCTGGGAGATATAATACCTGTGCACCAAAAGAAAAAAAAAATTATAAACTCAATGCAATGAAGAATTTCACACTGTATGCAGAAAACTAATATTTCCCCCAATAACAGTAGATTTGGTGTGATAGCATGTCCGCAAACAGAAATTAGGATGGCAAAAGGAATTTGAATGGTACACAAGGATTGACTTGATCAATATTTAAACATTGCAATAATCATCACAAATGCAAATCCCTCTTCTTCCTTGTTTCTCTGTCCGTAAACACATAATTTTGTCTTCCAAAACAATTTAACCATTTGAGAACAGCAGCAGCAACAACAGCAAATCAGTGCAAATAGTCATTCAGAAGGTTTTGGTAGAAGCAACGCCTTACTCAGGATCCAGATACCCCACAGTTCCCCTAACTATACTTGACACATGCGATGCTCCATCCACTGCAAGCTTGGAAAGCCCAAAATCTGAAACCTTTGCCCTCATTTGCTTGTCAAGAAGTATATTGCTAGTTTTTAAATCCCTATGGATAACGGCTGGAACACAGCCTGTGTGAAGGTATTCAATCCCTGAATATAGGAATACAAGAACCAAACATTCAGTCACTTGAACAAAGAGAAATTTCTGCACAGAGAAATTATAATTTTATCCCTTAGCTTAAGTACCTTTTGCAGCATCTTCAGCAATCTCAAGGCGTTTAATCCAATTGATAGCATGTTCCCTTGTTAAAGGGCCTACCATAATTTAAACACGGATGAGCACTCAACGTCATATTGCTTTTAACCTAAGAACATTTGGAACTTACCATACAGATGTTCTTTGAGAGTTCCATTGTGCATGAACTCATAAACAAGCATACTTCTCCCATCTTCTTGACAATACCCAAGAAACTGTACCAGGTTCCTATGATGTATCCTTGAAAGAAGACTCACCTACCCCATAAGTCAAAAGTTCACATGATTTTAGCTTCAAATGGCAAATTAGAAATATGCCAATTAATGTAACCTAAATTATTTAAAAGCCTCAGAACCCTCCCTCTAAAAAGAAAAGGTCATGTTAGAAAAAACCCCTTCTTTTTAAGAAAAATGCTTGACTGAAAGCAGACTTGCATGCTACCAATTCAATCATAGTTTATCAGTAAAATTCAGGCAACGAATTCTAAGATCTAACAAATTCATAATTTGTTTTTAAGTTTAGGCCTGTCAGTTCATTTCAGAACCAGTACATTAGTTGGGGAAATGCTCTTATATAAATAATATAAGAAAAGAAAATTTTACAAGTTTTAGCATTTGGCTGTTTTGCATGTGCTGCACTTAGTCGGGAACTCTCTAACTATTTACTAATTCCAGGCCGACATATTTTCATGGCAGTATGGAGATTTTCTTCCCTATGTCATAGTTTGTATGAATTTAAACAATTTATTTCGAAAGTCCAATGAAGCATTGAAGGTAGCCTAGCCAAAGTAGTGATAGAGTCACTTCAAATCTGACTATTAGTACCAACTTGCCCCAGCTTCAAAGCCTAAAATCTGATGTAATGGTCTTTACCTAATAGCCCTTAAAATGAATGAAATTCCCTCTAAAACTTCGGAGAAATTAACACCTAACACACCCACAATTAGAGGCTCATATATGAGAAACCTTCAAATGAATAAACTTAGCTCTTATTCTTTCAAGTTCTATGGTCAAACAACTCTCATGCCACCATTTTGAATTTGATCATTATTACAAGGCAAAGATAAACAACTGTTAGAAAAATTGCCTTAATAAAAGGACTCATGACCACTAGAGGTCAGAAGCAAAACTCCATAATTATGAACAAGAATTTGAAAACGAAAAAAGCTGCGTCAGATTGCAGAAGCAAGTTACAATTACCTCATTTGTAAATTCCCTATTTCCTTGGAAGGAATTACTAGTGAGAACTTTTACTGCAATTTCCTTCCCATCCTTCATTTTCCCATAGTATACAACTCCAAAGCCTCCAGAACCAATTTTCTTCTCAAAATTCTTCGTAGCATCTTCGATCTCAGCTAGTGTAAAGCAATGAGCAGCTTCTGCTGGACTATTACTCAAGGAAGAAGCAATTCTTTGACTTTGAATTGGCAAGGAATGATGAAATTGTTCTGACATAAATTAAAGAAATTAAGCATGTCAAGCCAGCTGAGATATTCAAAAGATTAGCCAAACTTTAAAAACCTGGTCTCATATGTTGTTCATGTTTCTTCTTCCCCTTGTGCAAAATAAGGCAAGACAAAATTGTAGCTATAAGCAGAACAGCAGCTCCAATTGATGAACCAACAATAATAATACTAAGGTGTCTTGTGCTTCCACCTCTCTCATGAAGGTTAATGTTTCCAGCATAGCTGTGGGAAAAGAATAAGTAAGAATATTGCATTAAACTAACACAGGAGCATAAATTAGTATGAAATGAGAAAAGGATGGAAAATGTCACAACGGAAAGCCAAAATATAGATATATTTAGCCTACCAACTAGCAGATAGAACATATTTGCAGTTTGCGTAAGATTCCTTGACTGGCTATTATCAGGTAACTTCCCATATTCATTAAAAGATTAGGAGTAGGTTTTCTATAATCATTATAAGGGAAGAAAACCAAAATAAAATAAAAAATTGCAAAGAACAAATTCAAAATACATAATATTTACTCATCAGAGATTCCACAGTGACTTCTACGGCAGCTCACAAAAAAGTTTGAATAATAACACCTGAGGATTTAGAAACTTAAAATCATGTTGATTGACACACTATTATGATAATCTGATTCTGTTAGAACAAGTGCCTTTTGCCCTTTTTCAGATTATGAAACACCACCGGTTGGCAATGTCTCACACTTTTCCAACACCTTTTTTGAATGATTCACCATTTCCAAGAGAGTTTCTATCTTTCAACAGAATTAGCATGCTGCTTCCTGTTTGTGTACATATGTTTGTATGTCTATATTTCTGTATATGAGAATAAAGGTACTTTTGACAAACTAAACAAAGAAGCTCCATAGCATTGACTTAATATGTGTAGGTTGCATACCAATTATTAAGCATGTGCAAATGCATTTCAATTAAACATTTAAATGATACTCACTTCAAAGCCAAGTCTTTACTCAGAAGGCCTGATGGTACTCTTCCAGATAACATATTATTCTGCACATACCTGCATCATGAGAGCGTCAATTACATAAGATAT